AGTAAATTGTTGATTATTAAATAGGACAATTGATAATTATGTAGATGATTTGTTTCAAGTGTAACCCGACATCATGTTATTTCTCGTGCCATTTATACCCAAAAATAGTTTTTGCATCTATATATGACATGCAGTTTTCTTGAACATATGATACGCATTTTATGGCGTGTAATGCGCATGCACTCCCCACCCCCCTAAACCTACCCAATGGGTTTTCGGTGCTTAGCATAAGCACGCAAAAACATTTTTGGCGTATAAATGGCATCAGAAATCACATTCGTGGTACAGGACCAATCAATCGCTCCTTTAATGCTGCGTTTACACCAGACGCGAATAGCACGTCAAATTCACGCCAACCGCGTCTAGTTATACGCGTGAACACTTTGAATCCATACACGCGTAAAAATCAAAAGTTTAGACCAGCTGCATGCACATTCATTGTCCTCGCGGCTGCTGTAACTTGAGGGGACTCAACTTCTACGGACAGTTTTCAATGCTTTATATCAAAATTTTGCTTTAGTATCATTTTTGGGACAATTATGGCTCGGTTTGGGGATTTGGGACAACACAACTCACAGTGAACGAAATATTGGATGAAAAATATACATACTGAATTGAGGGTGGGGGTTTATATGAATGTATCTCTGATGGAAACTTCAGAAACACAGTGCTGTTTTTGCTTAAACAAAGACAAAAAAGATCAGAATCAGCCATAAAGAAATCATGATCAGTGCATCACTAATTACAAGAGTCGTTTGTTGTGAATGGGACTACGCTGGTCATGAACGTTTGTTGAAGTCCAACTATTATTAACTACTACCTCAGTCTGTCAGGAACTACATCTTCCAGCTTCTAATGTAAAATGGTATGCATTATGCAATTGCATTCAGAAATAGTTGGACAACGATTTAGATTCTGTCCTCAGCTGCTAACACTATGCAAAATAAGGCGACGGCAGCGTCAATAACGCACAACAACGCAGGAATGGAAACTCTATTTGACATGCAAATGACGATCACTGTCTCTCGTAATGTTGTACACATCCACACTTTCCTACGAAACAAACAATCTGTTGGGAAACTGCTGATGAATAATGAGGTGACAATGACACAAACATCACGTTCTTCTGGAGTTTGGATCCTGAACACTATCAGAGTCGGAAGACCGTGTTTGACACACTATTAACACGGGTTTAGGATGACATGTTCTTCTCCTTAAGATGCACTCTCTTCTATTGGACTTTGTTACAACATACATGCATGCATTGAAACTCTTATAGGTGCTCCATCTCACATTTCACAACCTCAATCCAACAAAGTGACACAGAAATCGATGTGGAAGTGTGTGCTCGGGTTTCTGAACGCCTCTAGAAGGGAAAGTGGAAACACGAACCTTTACGCAAAGGTCAAAGATACACACAAAAGCATTATCCACATCAGGATTCTGGTGCGGACGTGTATCCGTTCTCGTCTAACCTAAGACATTAAAGCACGAGACAACAAAACAGGCTCAACTGTGCAAATGACAATACGTTTTGTGGTCAAATTAAATGGCCAAATTGCGTTCATGTTACTGAATACTAATTAACTAAATCATTTTGTGAGGCTGCTTCTAATGACACACATTTACTGTTATTACATAGTAATTTAGTACTGTGATACGTAACGTTGTTATCCATTAATTAGGCTACTTTTATGGTAATTAGAGATTTACCACACATCACATAGAAATCATCACATTGGGATGAGGTAAATATTCACATCCAGTCGCAAACATGATGTGGTTTAGTTTGTATATCTTTGCCAGAAATGTACAATGGTAACCATTGGTTGATTTGCTTCACCATATTTATTTAAAAAAGAAAATTAAAAAAAGTGTCATTTACAAAAAATAAATCATAAGCTTGTACCATCATGCTTTACTTTTGGATGAAGATTGTAATACAATGACACTTTGCCATAGGCTACATCATAACACTGCTTGATTATCATAATCATATAGGCCTAACATGTCATGTGAGGTTCAAAATGTTATTTGTAAGGGTTAGTTCACCCCAAAATTAAAATGATCCCATAATTTACTCCCCTCAAGCCATCCTAGGTGACTTTCTTCTTCTTCTTCTTATATAATAAAAGCTCTTCCAAGCTTTATAATGGGAGTGTAAGCCCAAAAAACACATCCATGTGAGAAAAATATCCACTTTAACTTTATTAGTTAAAGTTAAGTTAACAAAAACGCATAATTTAGCTTCAGAAGGCCTTTATTAACCCCTGGAGCCGTATGAGTTACTTTTATGATGGATCCAATATTTAGGCTTCAAAATCTAAGGTACCATTCACTCCCATTATAAAGCTAGGAAGAGACAGGATATAGTTTTACTCTGATTGTGCTTCGCAGAAAGGAGAAAGTCACATAGGATGGCCTGGACAGGATAATTTTCATTTTTATGTGAACTAACCCAAATGACACCATGGTAGTGTCTAAAAAATGTGATAGAATGAAAAAAAAATGTGATAAAAAAATGTGATACTGTCAAGCCTGTCCGTGGCGCTTTTGGAAAAATGGGGCAGAACACATTATTTGAAGAAGACCCCATTTTTGTTTATTATTTCACTTTCATAACAATGGTATTGTAAACTCTGGATAACCCTTGTAAATATTTATAAAGGACGTCTGCATTCCAGATAAATATTATTGTTTATTTTATGTTAGGGACAAAAAACAGCCTGAGTGTGTCACGTTAGCTATTACATAACATACATGCTCACTGCAATTAAACCACTAAAAACAGCCTTTTCGTATAGATTTGAAGACATTAAAATTTAAAAAGCACAGAAAATGCGATCTAAATGATACAGGATGAATCATACATGCATTAACAAGACCTGCAAAATGCAGACAGTGTTTCAAAAACAGTTTGCAGCCTAACTAGACCGCATCAGGGTTGTATATAACGTTATATATTCTAGGTAAGTTAGAATATAAGGTAACTTACATTAAGGAATACCATGGGATCTTGGACACGTCCAAAACACTGGTAGCCTACCACTACTATGCTTTTCCATGGTATTTTTGGATAGTAATATTGCACGTGCTGTTGATGACCAAAATACTATCTAGTCTGACAGCTGACTGTATTATGAAAGACCGTCTATATTGCGCAAATATGCTGCATAAACCAATGATTCCCGCCCAAAGACGCTGCACGCGCACGGATGATGCTCAAACCTGTGGCCCAAACATGTTGTCTACATAGGCAGCTCACTAGGTTTTAAGACACAGCCAGTAGAGTGCAGTCTACGGGTTATTCGTACAGAAATTACAGTTAGAAACATAAACACCAACCTTAATTGTCCGAAGTCCTCCTGACGGAAAACACGGGCTTGAGAGAATTGAGAGAATAAGGTCAAACGTGAATTGTGTACGTTAGATTGCGTCGTCTGAGGAGAATCCGTCTGTCAGTCCATCAGTAAATGGGTTAAAACTTCTCAGACGTATTCTGACAGGTACGATCCTAATAGGCAGGGGAGATCTAAAACGCTCTAACTGTCAACCACAAACGCGTTTTGTTGAAATATTAAAGCCATGAAGTGCTATACTACTGGCCGCCTTCGCTCGCACGTCTGTCTTCCTTCTTCGGCGCGACTGTTTATCTGCGATCGTTGAGTTCTGTCTGTCTGCTGCGCTCGAGGGATCGGCGTTCGACTGGGCTAAAAATAAAACAAACGCACGAAAGCAGGTCTGGAATCAGTTCTTTGAGATGGAACACGAAGTCATGCCACTTTTATTTAACCATTCAGGCAGACCGCAGATCAGTTGACCGTTTTTCCGGCTGTTAGGAAGGAGCCTGTTACGTATCCAGAGGAGCCTTTAATCAAAAATCATATTAAAAGTCTAACGTGTTATGAACTGTAATGTTACTGAAAATCGTGTTGAAGATGGCCCATATCCTTATGTTTCATATGTAACGGATGTGTTTACAGTTTTTTTTTTTTTATGGAATGTGCAATACAATGTCACAAAAATATTTTACACATATAATAGCAGAATAACTTTGGACCTGATCTAAAGAATCTGAACATTTTCATTCACATAACTTTTATTTTGGTTAACATGCCATAGCCTAGCTACTAATGAACATGGAAAGGGCTAGAAAAATATATAAGCAAGCCAATGCTGCCGCCACGTGGTATTGGGCGTCCAAAACATGGCAATAAATAAATAAATAAATAAATAAATAAATAAATTGACGACATTCCGTCTGACAGCCATGACGTAACCACGTTGCATTTCATATCATTCCATGAACGGAGGATGATATTTAGGGCAAAATAAATAAAAACAAAAATGGTTTCATAGATGAGAGTTAAAAAACGATACGCACATGTAGAAAGACTTGTATATATTTATAGCTATAAAGTGATAAAGTAGGATGATGACGTAATGCAGCAACAGGAGTACAGGCAACGCAAATAACATGTGAATGATATGATATGATTTCCTAGGCATCGGTGCATTAATATCAATTGCTCTTTCTGTGATCTCTGTTTTGATCTTGTAATTATAAGAGCCCCCTGAGAAAAGATTCTGGATTTTTTTTATATCGTATGAATTCTGATGTCTCCTTAGTATTTGAGAATATAATTCTTGTTTTTGAAGGTCATAAATCAGGGAATAAAGTTAGATTTGATCAATCCTCTCTTTTTTGGCTAAATATTGACGGTTTAACCTATTTTATGCATTATGATTTGACTGAGAATGTGAAATTGATATATATAGCCTATATATATATACATTTTGGTTATAATTGATGTTTCTATTAATTAAAAACGCTATGGATATAGGGCATTCTAAAACTGATAAAGATAACATTAAAGAATATAAGAAGAACACTGAATATTGACCAGGTCAAATCACACGCGAGCGCGCACTGCTTCCTCATGTGCGCGCGCGCGTCTCCTGTTTATCGCCCCCTAAAAGTTTTTTCCCATGATGCTCCGCGTGGTCGAGCAGCAAGATGGCGGACGCTCTGGATGAATTTGAGAAAGAAGCTGGATGCGTCCCGATCCTCCATCCCGAGGTAAAAACACGGCGTTTATCCAGCTGCAGCACTGCTGCAATCCTAAACGAAGCCGAAGGGATTTCACGTCCAGTAAAAGCGCCATTTCTACTGTTAACTTCTCACAATGAAGGAGAGGGGCTGAATCCCCCCCACTGCTGCGTAATAGCATTGCTGCTAACGTTAGCCTTTCATATCCATACATTTTGTTTTTATTTTTCGCTTCATCGCACGTCTAATAACATGTTTTAAGACAGGTTTTTTTTTTTTATTCCATACTGTGCAATGACACACCTGACATTACGGTATTATAGAAGTATTCCCAGTGTGTTGTGCTGCGTTTGCGTCTAAATGACAGACACCATTCACAAACATCATCATTTGCATCCATTTACCTTCAGATTTGAACGTTAATGTTGGCATATTTTTTTTAGCAGTATGGTTTTAGTGCACTATAAGAGTCTGTCTTGATTCTTTTTGACTGCATTTGGTGTTTGTTTCGCAAATGTGACAGATTTGCTTCAGAGCTGTCATTGTTGTGAGTTATTTGCAGGCTAGCAAATTGCATAAAAATAGTCATTAATACATTCTATTATTTGATCTGCAATGGATGATATGCATTTTTGTATAAGGACTTGTATAATAGTGACTTTGCATTGACAGGAGACCTTTAGTTTTATTATGTGTGCAATAGTAGGACTCCTGACAGCTTGCTCATATGGGCCCTCCTGCTGTAAATTATTCATGCTCACACTGACTGACCTTACAGCTGATCACACACATGTAGTCTCAGTGAATGGCAATTGGCTTAAAGTCATACTAACACACGCTGACCTGTTGGAGTGAAAGGAAGCTCTCAGCAGACCTAAGCTGTTCTTTTCATTGCAATGTTTATAATTATATATTTGGCCGGTTTCACAGAATGCATGTTTGAACTGTCTTCACTGAAAACAACTTGTTTCTTATATCATATACACACTTGTATATCTTAAAATATGTCAGGGTCATTGTTTTGTGTCAAGATGCACATCAGTAATATTTTTTTCTAAGGCATGTTTAAAAAAGCTACTTAAATGCCCTAATTAAGCTAAGTCTGTGAAACCGGGCCATAATATTATAGTTTATAATACTAATAATAATAAGTGGTCGACCAATATGGGTTTTGAAATGACCAATGCTAATGCTGATATCTGTTGAGCAGGGTTGCAAATACATACAATTTTAATAACAGAAGTGCAATGAATGCATTATGTAATCGTTTGTGTGTTTTCTGTGTGTGCCCTGGTGTTCAGTGGGACGAGCTGGGTGATTTAGAGGCTAGAACATGAAACCATGATAGGTGATGTTTTGCATGAGGCTGTTTGAGAGGTAGATATAGATTAGCTGTCCTCAATATTTCTCTTGTGATGTATAATCAAAAGGTTATATTATCATGCAAAGAATTGTTTCAGAAGTGTTTTGAGTCTGGATTTGAATGTGATACTGTACAGAAAGAAAGAAAAAGAAACCCCTCTACTATGAAAGACACAGTCTGTGCATTTGTCTTTAGTTATTAGTTAATCAATGCTGTTAACTAGTGGAAAGTCGGCAGGGTCCAGTTGTCACCTGATTGGTGGCAGTCAGCCATCTGTCCCTTACAGGCACCCATCAGACCTGAGGTTTCCTCTTCAGATGATGTCCAGGGGGGTCAACAGGAAGGTGTGTGTCTGCTTTAGTCAAAAGTGTACCATCTTGTTGGAGGAAAGGCCACGGATTGTGTGCAACAAATGTAGTTTTGTGGCATTTAATTTTCCTGCAGTTCCGCTTCCTGTTTCTGCATTGTGGGTGTTATTTTATATGTGGTTTTGTTTGTAACAAATGATGTGTGAAATCACACTACAAACAAGAAGTCTGAGTTAAGTTGTAAAAACTGAGATAAAAATTAAAAGCAGGATTGATTATGAAAAAAAAACATCGAATATCGTTCCTCTGTGTTGTCATCGTTATAGTTGTGATGTGGCTATTCTTTAACAATTTATAACTATATCTTTATTATTATTGGTGTGAATGGGCCTTGCATAGCTGTGGCATTGCCTTGACTGTGTGAATATAATTTCACAATGGCTGTTGACGGTCAGTCCAGACGTGTTTATGGACGTTGACATGAACTAAAGATATAAATGGCAGCGTAATTAACCGCATTAACAGAAGCTGTTGATAAAGCACACACTCTTAAGCTGCGTTTACACTGCCACAATGTGTTTGATATTTTGATGTGTGTTATATCTGGACACAGGTCGGAATTTGCTACACACGGGTAAATACAAAAATCTGATTTTTTCTTTTAACTTATGCTGGCAAATAATCAACGTGAATCATTCTAGTTGTGCTTAATGTAAATGTAAACACGGGATTAATATATAAATGCATTAATCCTGGATTAATGTAAACACAGATATCAGATACCACCAGTCGTGTCTAAAGTGAATGTAAACAGACTGGGACAAAAAATCAGGAGATCAGATCTGTACATTAAGAATTGCAGTATAAACGTCTTCCTGTGGTAATAGGAAGCCAAGCATCTGAGTGTGTGTCAAACATGGTCTCACAGATCGCTGTAAGCGCTTGTTTCCTCTCACTGGCAGAGGAACATTAGGCCCGTATTGAATTAGACCAACTGTTCCGAAACCAGGCACAAAAATATTGAACGAAACAACCAAACGCCTTTCCAAAGGCCTGCCGGTGGTGCTGAATCTCCCAACTGCTCGCTTTATCAGTTTCGCTCTTTTTGGTGGTCTGTCATTTGCTAAATGTGATATAACACATCTGAGTGTGCTTTCACACTGATCACTGTGAGACATTTAGCACAGGATTGCTCATGAGATCCGTTTCTGATCGGAATATAAAAACCTGTATTAACACTAATGCTATGTGTATGACTAATAGATGTGGATTAAGTGCACATCTGCTAGCCTTGAGCTCCTCAGTTCAGCCCACCCTGCTGTAATGTCACTATTACTGTGGTATTACCACGCTTTGGAAAGTAATAGCATACTGTACTGACAAATTTGTATACATTTGAAATATAATGTGAAGAATAGTGGTTGACCGATATATCGGCATCGCTGATATTAAAGTATTCCTCCTTGCATTATTATACATTATAATCAACATTATATATAGTAGTTCTAGGGATGGGCAATGATTAATCGTGATTAATCGCATCCAAAATAAAAGTTTGTGTTTACATGATATATGTGTGTGTGGTGTGTATAATTATTTTGTATATATTTAAGAAAAATGTGTTCTTAATATATAAATTATTTATATTTATATATAATATTAATTATGTATAAATATATATAAAGTATATACATGCAAATATTTCTTAAATATATACATGCATGTGTGTGTATTTATATATACAAAATAATTACATAAATAATAATATAAATAAAATAATAAAATAAACACCACACACACATATATTACGTAAACACAAACTTTTATTTTGGATGCGATTAATCGCGATTAATCGTTGCCCATCCCTAGTTCAATATAGTACTGACACTAAAACTCTTTTTTCTCACACAGTAGGCTAATATTTATTTTGGGGGGACTATCCACAATACATATTATTGTCACTATTTAGGATACGTATTGTTGCATTTTTGTATTGCGATATATATTGTGGCACGGTATATTGTTGTATATTCAATATATTTTTGGACTTATTGATTTTTTCCAGCTGCTTGGTGGCTGTAAATTGTGATGGATCATCATCTCAGTACTGTTGGACTGACCTCTGACCTATTGGAGAGCCTTTTAGAAATGAAAATTTGACTCGGTCGGATGTCAATTTATATCCCCTTCACGCAGATTCTCTCTTTCTGGATGCTTTGCTGGAGGGTAACTGTGACATTCAGATAATCTCACTGGGGTTTCCTCTGAAAGTGTGTAGTCATGTGACTGCTCGCTGAATCTTTGTGTTGATAAAGTGAGTGTCAGACTTTTATTTTCCGATTATGAATGCATGCTGTCATTTTTATATGTGAATCTCTGGCCAGTGTGTGTGTGCATGTCTCATCTCTGCTGGCCTGGCATTTCTCTGACACACACAGACACAGGGAGCTCGGTGTGTTTGCCAGGACTCCCCTGTGTCCTGTGGGGGTTTTCTGTTTGCCCTTTGCATCTGTTTCAAGATTTTGTTAGAAGGAATCTAATTTTACTGTGTTTTTAGACATATACTTGAATTTTCTGGTGTGTAATATGGTAAACTGTGTTTTTCAGAAGAGTAACAACTAGTCTGATATTATTACTGTATATTGAGGACTTTTTCTACGATTGTGGTTTATAATTAGAAAGTATAGTATTTGGTTTATTAACGCAAGGTTTTATATACATAGATTTTTTGTCATCTTACATTTTCTATGTTAATTTGGAGGGACAAAATCTGAATTTATAAAGGAGACAAAAAATGAATCAACAAGGGGCAGGGCTGCGCTAGTTGAGTTGTCTCTGAGTGGTGGAAATATGTAATAGAATGAATAAATACGGGTTTCTGGAAAAGTGAAAAGGATAAAGATGGTTCATGTCAAAATGGCTCGGGTGATTTTGGGGGTTTCTATCGGACATCAGCATCCCCTGGGCCTTTAATACAATAGACAGAGACCCTCCCCACCAATCAATAGAGCTGAAGCTTCTGAACATCTGCTGGTCATCAAACACCCCCTGACCTGAGCATCAGCAGCAGTCTCAGGGGTTTTTACTCTAATTATAATGTTAGACAAAGTTAATAGACAAAAACAGGTCAGAAACATTGTCTCCCTTCTTGGTGATATTATGATATGAGTATTAAACAGACTGTTTTTACTGCTGTATCTTTAAGATGATGCATACATGGCAGTTTGTTATGATTAGCTAACCTCAGCATGGACTGGAAAGGGGTTTATATGTAAATGTGGTAGACTTGGTGTCAAGACCGCCTAAACCGAGACCCAGACGCTACCAAGAGCAGAGACCAAGTCGATACCAAGACCAAGTCTAGACCAAGGCCGAGACCAAGTCAAGATCAAGACCGCCTAAACCGAGACCAAGACACTACCGAGAGCAGAGATCAAGTCTAGACCAAGACCAAGTCAAGACCGAGACCAAGTTGAAGTCGAGACCAAGACCGAGACCAAGTCAAGATCAAGACCGCCTAAACCGAGACCAAGACACTACCAAGAGCAGAGATCAAGTCTAGACCAAGACCAAGTCGATACCGAGACCAAGTCTAGACCAAGGCCGAGACCAAGTCAAGATCAAGACCGCCTAAACCGAGACCAAGACACTACCGAGAGCAGAGATCAAGTCTAGACCAAGACCAAGTCGATACCGAGACCAAGTCAAGACCAAGGCCGAGACCAAGTCAAGATCAAGACCGCCTAAACCGAGACCAAGACACTACCAAGAGCAGAGATCAAGTCCAGACCAAGACCAAGTCGATAACGAGATCAAGTCTAGACCAAGGCCGAGACCAAGTCAAGATCAAGACCGCCTAAACCGAGACCAAGACACTACCGAGAGCAGAGATCAAGTCTAGACCAAGACCAAGTCGATACTGAGACCAAGTCTAGACCAAGGCCGAGACCAAGTCAAGATCAAGACCGCCTAAACCGAGACCAAGACACTACCAAGAGCAGAGATCAAGTCCAGACCAAGACCAAGTCGATACCGAGACCAAGTCTAGACCAAGGCCGAGACCAAGTCAAGATCAAGACCGCCTAAACCAAGACCAAGACACTACCGAGAGCAGAGATCAAGTCTAGACCAAGACCAAGTCGATACTGAGACCAAGTCTAGACCAAGGCCGAGACCAAGTCAAGATCAAGACCGCCTAAACCGAGACCAAGACACTACCAAGAGCAGAGATCAAGTCCAGACCAAGACCAAGTCGATACCGAGACCAAGTCTAGACCAAGGCCGAGACCAAGTCAAGATCAAGACCGCCTAAACCAAGACCAAGACACTACCGAGAGCAGAGATCAAGTCTAGACCAAGACCAAGTCGATACCGAGACCAAGTCTAGACCAAGGCCGAGACCAAGTCAAGATCAAAACCACCTAAACCGAGACCAAGACACTACCGAGAGCAGAGATCAAGTCTAGACCAAGACCGAGACCAAGTCGAGACCAAGGCCAAGTTGAAGTCGAGACCAAGACCGAGACCGGAGGGGAAAAAAACAGGCTAGTGTTGTTAAAGTTAAGCAATAACTTGTAAGATTTTGTTTTGCGTGGCCTACCTATCTCTACCAATTTCAAAGTCTCCAAATGAAGACTTTGAAATCTTAAAAACTAATTTCTAGTTTTTATTGGATTTCTTCAAGTTTTTACACGACACATTTCAAACGAGCAAGACAATCCTGTTTTCCAGGATACAGCCCCTATAAAAACACCTTTCAGTTTTATTTCAGCAGTGTGTGTTTGAGTGAGATAGCAGAGATAGAGACTCTCTGTATATAAGACATGTCGTGTCCAAGATCCTCTGTGCCATCCATCACTCATCCTTCTATCCGTTTGCTCTAGAGATGATAGAGATAAACTGACTGTCTTTCTCTCCCACAGGAAATTAAAACCCCGAGTCACTATAGCCATGGCTACAGCGAGAGCGTTAGCCGCAAGAGCCACGTGGACGACTACAGCACTTGGGACATCGTCAAAGCCACCCAGTGAGTCTCTCATACACACACACACATACACACGCCCAGAAACATCTAGCTATATAAAAAATCATCCAAAAGACATCAGTTGAGCAGCCTGGTTCTGTCCTGTTTTGGTACTGTGAGTGAGCGCTTAACATTGTACATTTGAAACTATTGTTTTTGTGTTTGTAACGGATGTTTCTTTAGTGCTTGTGTGTTTTATTGTGTAATTTGAGCTGTTTGTGTGTCAGGTATGGCATATTCGAGCGCTGCCGTGAGCTTGTGGATGCCGGATATGACGTGCGCCAGCCGGATAAAGAAAATGTCACACTCCTGCATTGGGCGGCAATTAACAACCGCATAGACTTGGTCAAGTACGTATCTGTCTGTGTCTTATTTGCGTATTGTATACACATTCCACTTCCTTTCCTGAATCTGAGACAGACGTTTAGCTGTATGATAAAGCCTAGATGTCTCACTTCAGAAGTGTTGTCTGTCTGCTCTTTGTAGGCATTACATATCTAAAGGTGCCATAGTTGACCAGCTGGGAGGAGATCTCAACTCTACGCCACTACACTGGGCTACAAGGTGACTTATTGCAGAGCAACCACTATATACTATACACTGCTTACTATTTATCAAAGCATTCATCAATACACTAAAATGCTGTTGAGCTTTCTGGTTCATTCATCACACTGGACATGGATGCTCAAGTTGAGCTGTGTTATTGTTAACTTTAACTAAAACTAAAAGCATTTTTTAAAAGCGGAAATAAAATATTAAATATTAGTTCACCCCCAAAATTAAAAAATCATCATGTTGTTCCAAAACCCATAAGACTTTCACTCGTCATTGAAACAAAATGAAGATATTTTAAATAGGGATGGGCAACGATTAATCGCATCCAAAATAAAAGTTTGTGTTTACATGGTATATGTTTGTGTAGTGTGTATAATTAATTTGTATATATAAATACCCACACATCCATGTATATATTTAAGAAATATGTGCATGTATATATTTATTCACAATTAATATTATATATAAATATAAATATTTGATATATTAATAACACATATTTCTTAAATATATACATGCATGTGTGGGTATTTATATATACAAATTAAATGTATTATACACACATATATTATGTAAACACAAACCTTTATTTTGGATGCGATTAATCATTGCCCATCCCTAATTTTAAATAAATCAGGCAGGTTTCTGTACCTCCATTGACAGCTACCTCTTTGACGCTTCAAAAAGTTTACGTCAAGAGATCGTAAAACTAATTCATTTGAATGGAGTGGTTTAGTCCAAATTTGCGAAAGAGACAAAATCACTCCGGTTTCATCAAAAAGATCTTCATTTGTGTTTTGAAGATGAACAAAAGTCTTACGGGTTTGGAAAGACATGAGTGAGTGAGTAATTAATGACTTTTTTTCATATTTGAGTGAACTAACCCTTTAAGTTGAATTATTAAATAGATTTTTTTTTATTACAAAAACTAGTAAAAGTTCAAGCTAAATATATACAAATAAAAGGACATAATATTACTGTAAATTAAACTAAAAATGAAATAAACTGATGAAAGCTAATTTAAAATATTAAAAAATACTTTAATATTATATTTATTCTAAATTGCATAAGTGGTGTGTGATTTGTTGTATACAGCAGATTTCATATAAATTGGTAGGTATACAAAGTATACAGTATATCTGAATCAAATACATGTAAGTATTAAATCATATTGTGCATACTGTATGGTATTGTGTTTTGGTCTGATGCGCCACCCTACACCCTAATTTGAAAGTGATTGCAGTACCAGCTTTGTCCACAATCTCCTTTAATTATATCTGTGAATGACACTCGTCCGCTCTCTCTCCTTCAGACAGGGCCATCTCTCCATGGTGGTGCAGTTAATGAAGTATGGTGCTGATCCGTCTCTCATCGATGGGGAGGGTTGCAGTTGTGTGCACCTGGCCGCTCAGTTTGGACACACCTCCATTGTGGCTTACCTCATTGCCAAGGGACAGGTACGCTTGTTTATATAAAGACTCTTCATGAAACGTTCTGTGTGACGCTGGTCTCATCAAAACCAAAACCAGTCAGAATACCTTTCATTATCTTGTAGCTATTTTGAGCTGACGGGATTTCCTTGTGGGCGGAGCTACCTGGGAAAACATGACGAAAATAAAGTAACCATCAAAATGTCTCATCCAGGGCGCAGGGTTTCATTTGCATTTGGGATTAAAAAAGATGTGTGCGAAAAAAGTTGTATGAGATTTAAGGGCATAATAAGTCTCAAATAGCCTTAATGGATGTTAGTGTGCATCTTTTATCTCCTGCATCTTATTGGATCAACATCCAGCAATAATTAAAGGGATACTCAACTTTTTTTTTTTTGGAAATAGGCTCAATTTACAACTCCCCCAGAGTTAAACAGTTGAGTTTTACAGTTTTCCAATGCATTCAGTCGATTTTCTGATACTTTGAAGAATATCAGTAACCAGACAGTTTCTGGTCTTATTAAGTCAATGAGACCAGAAACTGTCTGGTTGCTGTCTCGCGTGCCAGAGCGAATGGGTGCACGCACTGAGACGAAAGAGCTATCAACTTGTCTTACTTAAGGGAATAATATAGTTTAATATGAAAAAACGGTGGAGTATCCCTTTAAATGTAGTATAGTCTATTCATTATATGTTGCTTTTTCTCCTGCTTAGTCCATTTCAGCCTGCAGGGGGCGTTTGTGACATTTCTATCCACAGCAGTTTGACCTCTAGGAAAGATATAGACCATTTTGCAAGATGTAAACAACACTGGTCCAGAAGCACTTCCTGTTTCAGTTTTTTAACGCTACATAAAAGCTGGGATAAAATACAACCAACAGAACATATAAAACTGAATCAAAAAGTTATTTTTTCTTTACATGTGAAATAAAGAAAACAGTTACAAACTGAAACAGGAAGTGTTTCTGGACCAGTGTTGTTTACATCTTGCAAAATGGTCTATTACATGAACCCATTGCATTTGATCTCAGCCTGATCCTACTTTAATGTATCATTTTTTATGTGTCGTCCTCCAGGATGTTGATATGATGGATCAGAATGGCATGACCCCTTTGATGTGGGCGGCTTATCGGACGCACAGGTGTGTGTGTGTGTGTGAGAGGAAATGTTTTCATTTTCCATTGTTAAAATGTAAAGCTAATAGGTGTGATCTCCCGCAGTGTTGACCCAACACGGCTGTTGCTGACGTTTAACGTGTCGGTGAATCTGGGTGATAAATATCATAAGAACACGGCGCTGCACTGGGCGGTTCTGGCCGGAAACACTACGGTCATCAGTCTGCTGCTGGACGCCAATGCTAACGTCGATGCACAGAACATCAAGGTAAAGTCCAGACGGACACACCAGCACACTGAAATGATGTGTGTACATGACATCTGATAGTATTTGTGGGTGGCAGGGGGAGACGCCGCTGGATCTGGCCAAACAGAGGAAAAATGTGTGGATGATAAATCATTTGCAGGAGGCCAGACAGGCCAAAGGTTACGACAGCCCCTCGTACCTGAAACGACTCAAAATGGACAAGGTAAAGCAACTGAAAGATTTCTCTCGTCTCAAAATTAGAGTGTTGCACGACCATTCAATTGTATGACTAGGTTTCTAACAATGGAAAGCTTAAAGGAGAACTCCGGCACAAAATGAACCTTTGGTCTAATTACACATTGCTACCTATTCAACCGTTATCTGAGATTTGTTTTCATGATTGCCGAATGTAAATAGTTTTATCTCTAAAAACAGTTTAGCCTATAACGCTAGTATAATGCTAGTATATAGTGCATAGAGTAATGACAAATAAAAATCGCTTGTTATTACCACTAACAAGGCTCAAAATAGCCCCACACCAACACGACAGCATAATAAGAGTCCCTACATTCAAACCGAAGCATTGAGAACTTTGTCAAGAAGATATTTTATACACAGTCAACTTCGCGAATACAGGAAGAAGCCATCTTTGAAAAATAGTCTCTATCAGTCGATCTACGAACTCAGATCCAAGTGCACTGGTGAGATGTGAATAAGGTGATGAGGTGAGCGCGAACAGTAGTCTACATCTACATATTGATGAGAAGAAAGCGGTTTGTGTTTCTTCCGGAAACAATGGACCATATGAGATTCTGCACAGTTGAGCGCACTTGGATCGGCGTTCGTAGATCGACTGGTAGAGACTATTTTTCAAAGATGGCTTCTTCCTGTATTCGCGAAGTTGACTGTGTGTATAAAATATCTGCTTATTAAACACTGACAAAGTTCTCAATGCTTCGGTTTGAATGTAAGGACCCTTGTTATGCTGTCGTGTTGGTGTGGGGCTATTTTGAGCCTTGTTAGTGGTAATAACAAGCGATTTTTATTTGTCATTACTCTATGCCCTATATACTAGCATTATACTAGCGTTATAGGCTAAACTGTTTTTTGAGATAAAACTATTTACATCGGCAATCATGAAAACAAATCTCAGATAACGGTTGACTAGGTAGCAATGTGTAATTAGACCAAAGGTTCATTTTGCGCCGGAGTTCTCCTTTAATGCAAATGGGTGGAGTGTCCCTTTAAGAGCTTAAAAATGTGAGATTTACTTCCGAACTTCCTAGAATTAGAAGATTTTTGTGATCCTGCCCCCAGACTTTGACTTCTGTGTCTGTTCGCAGGAGTTCAGGCAGAAGGTGATGTTGGGAACTCCGTTCATGGTGATTTGGTTGGTGGGATTTATCGCCGATCTGGACATTGACTCTTGGCTCATCAAGGGTGTGATGTATGCGGCGGTGTGGCTCGTCGTGCAGTTCCTTTCCAAGTATGACGTGCATGCCATTATAGCCATCTGTGGTGCTGCTCAGGCTTTTAATGGATTCTGATGCGAGTGTGGACCATCATGGCTAACATTTCGTCTCTGTTTCTAGGTCTTTCTTTGATCACTCCATGCATAGCGCTCTTCCTCTGGGCATCTATATGGCCACTAAGTTCTGGATGTACATCACCTGGTTTTATTGGTTCTGGAACGATATCCTTTTCAGTCGCTCCATCATTTACTTCACTTCCTGTGCTTTCAGTGTATGATCATAATATGGAATTGATGCAACCTAAATAAGTTGATACAATCCACTTAATAAGAGTATTGTATTCCAAAAAAATCATCATTATCCAGACGGGGCGAAACTACACGGTGTCAGAGGGGTATGCGGGAACAATTTTTGTGCCATTTTGGCCACATGGCAACATTTTGTCAGAATGTTATTTTGTTTTTCTTTTCAAATTCCTCGTGCAAGAATCATGATCTCTGTTTAAAAAAAAAAAAAAGTGATTCTTAATTTCTCCATAATCGTGCGGCTCTAATGTGTCGATGAGCATCCGAATAAGAACGCTGACACAGCAGGAAAAGCAAACATCTTCTCTCTGTGTTTGGCTTTGTTTTCCCTGCATGAAACTTAAATCTGGGTCACTGAATTGACCCAGTTTACCTGGCTATATCTCACTTTTCAATGTTGAAAGGTCTAAATCTTGTAGACAAGCTCACAAGTCCTTTATTTACACATTCTCTTGATGTGATGGACCTAATGAAAGCAACCGAGGATCAGTGTTGGGTAAGTTACTCTAAAAAAGTAATTAATTACTAGTTACTAATTACCTCTTCAAAAGTGTAATTAGATTACTGTACTAATTACTCTCTTTAAAAAGTATTTAATTACTTTTAATTACTAATTACTTTCAAAATCCCATATCAATCTCAACCAGCTGAATAATACAAGAATAGACATGAATCTGTTTTAATTTTTTCAAATAAATACTATAAAATTGCATGAATTATCCTTAAACAGACCAGGTTACATTATAAAAACATACTTTTTAACATCAGACAATACATTTTGATGTTAAACCCACTATTGTTTTTATGTCTGATCTCATGACATTTCACACTTTTTTCATACATATTTTACAATAATTCATACGAATGCTGTAGTACAATTTAGACACCTCATGAAATGCATACGAATCGCTGTGAGATCGGATTGATCTATACACAGTATTTACCTCAATTACATCAGAAGTAACTGTAATTAAATTACAGATAAATGAAGAGTAATCCCTTACTTTACATTTTCAATGGAAAAGTAATTAAATTACAGTAACTAATTACTTAGTAATTAGTTACATCCAACACTGCCGAGGATATAAATGGGAAGTTTAGCAGTATGCTTCAGTGTCTGACATTTTGTTTTGTTACGTTATTTTAAACAACAAACCGAGATGAAAATATCCATAATTCGCCCACGGTTGTCTGGAGCTGATTTGTTTCTAGTTGTGTTGATGCTTCATACTGTGAAAATCATCTTGGACAGATTTAACATGGCTATGGCTATTTGCCTTGGAATCAGGAGTGACTCACACATTAAATGTAGTGAAATTGACACTTTAAGTGATATTGCGTGGGTGAGAGGGGGGCTGGACGGCTTGACATTATTTATTGTGTCTCGTCAATGTGAGATTATGCCACACACCATATATCTGCTATATATATCTATTGAATTGAGGAGAGAGAGAGAGAGAGAGAGACAAAACAACAGTTTAACAAATTAATGCATTTCAAAATATGGTCTCTTGCCCATCAGTTTTATCAAAAAGTAGTAATAATCAAATTTAGATGAAGGGCTTATCATTTTTAAGTATTTATTTAGCTGGAATATCGAAAAATCAGGCATTTCTACATAGTTATATAATAAAATAAACACTTTTTGTTGCATTTCCAGCAAAAAAATGGTCACTGTGATATATAATTATTTCTCATTCTGTGATATAAGATTCTGCGGTGTGAGAGAGAAAGCCGAGCTCTTGTCTGGTAATGACACATGTTGCATTTCTATGTTTATGCTGCTGTCAAACAGCAGGAAAATAGGATTTCTGCCCAAAGCTGAAGCATTTCCTCCTCTTTTGAAGGAGCCGCTCAAGACGTGACTCATGTCTGGATGTGCCTATTGAGTGAAGCTGCTGAAATGTGGTTTGTGTGGCTCTGTGCTGTAATTGGAGGTTGTGGAGTGATGTTTAGTGTGTCATGTGTCCAGGTGTGTCTCCAGAGCTCAGGAATAGAAACAATGCACTCAAACCCTGCAGCTAAAAATCAGTTCAAGAGCTCTGGGTGGATCCGTTTCCCTCTCGCCCTTATCATCCGACAATAGAGCATCTCCTCAGAGGATTGAGCTTTCTTCCTGCTGTAATTGTTGCCCGTGTGCAGCTCAGCTCAGCGAAAACACCGACCCACTTACAGAAGAAAAAACTGATTTTCTGTTTTTTTTAGACCGTATGTCCTTTAATTTTCTCTGGTTGGAGGCACTCGTGTTACATTTCAGATGTCAACAAGAAATAGTACTTTTTTGATGGAATAATTCATTGATAAATTCAATTCATAAATTAATTTGTCAGATTGTTTTTTTTTTGTTCACGAAATAACTCATCTTGCGACTTTTCATAAGATTCTTGAATTTGAATGACTACTAGTTATTATTCCCACATTCAGTGTTTGTTTTGTTATTGGATCATTCTTTAGAATAGGTTATGTTCACTTACTCATTTGAACCAGTTCACAAAATGGTCGGAACGATACATTCAAATCAGTTTGATTGACAATAACATTTTTTAACTTTCATCAAGTAATTACAAACGATCCTGGGAATTGATTGGCCCAGAGTCCCATTGTTTTAGCCTGGGAAAACCCAGACAACTTCCGGCAAATTTAGATTTGCTGAATTTTTAAAGGAAGCTGAACCAAATAGTTTATTTTCGGTGTAACCAGGAATAACAAATTATGTTAAATGTACCATTGTCTTGACATTTGTATAGTATAGATGTTGTCGTTGTTGTTTTTATTAATTTTTTTAATTTTTTTTTAAACTTTTTTTTTTCTTTCTGTGCTTGTTTTAATGTAAATGTTTCTAAAATCAATAAATACAATGTTGAAAAAAAAAAAAATTTAGATTTGCTCTGAAAGTTAGTCTGGCACAGAGCTCATTCAAGCCCATTTCCAGTCCGCAGAAATCGCGGCACCAATCAGAAACGTTGGGGCGGGCTTTACACGATGACAACAGCGCTGGGATTTTGAAGCAGATTTTGTAGCCTACATTACAAAGATGTACGCCGCCGTCAAACATCACTCGTTCGAATCAGCTATCGGGTCTGTTTTACGCGATTTGAACGTTTCCTTTTTGTTAAAAACCGAGCAAAGAACAACACTCCTCCGCCATCTCCTTCATTGCTCTGATTGGTTTTAGGTCTATCCGTTGGTGACGCCCCTCTGGAAATGATTTGTCTATGACGCTTTGCCAGACCATAACTCAGTTACAACTGAGAATGGTCTGGTTTTAACCAGGCTACCATTGTTTCATATTAAAATGAAACTTCCTTAACCCTCCACACTTCTCCCGTTTGTCACCATCCACCTGCCGTTCCTGCTCAATAGCCTGGCTCTCTTCTACAACTTTGGCAAGTCCTGGAAGTCTGACCCCGGCATCATCAAAGCATCCGAGGAGCAGAAGAAAAAGGTCAAATCTCTAACTGCAAACCACAAGAATGCACAAGAAAGCATCACTTACATTTTCCTTTTCTTTCCTCTATTTAGACTATAGTTGAGTTGGCAGAGACAGGCTCTCTGGATCTCAGCATATTCTGCAGCACCTGTTTGGTAATTATGACTTTTCCGTTCTCCTCGCACGCTGGCCGGCGGATAACCCAACGGTCTGATTTGCATTGCAGTTTCCATAGCACATAAAACACTCATTTTACGACCTGTGTACTCCACAGATACGGAAGCCCATCAGATCGAAACACTGCGCCGTGTGCAATCGATGCATCGCCAAATTTGATCACCACTGCCCTTGGGTAGGCAACTGCGTAGGTGAGTTTTCCAAGTGCACATTTTCCACCAACCTCACATGCTTTTCCTCCTGACATTAAAATGAAAAGTCATAGATTGCTGAAATGTTCCCCAGGAAATTCACAATAGTCAAGAAATCTGCATCCCGTAATAGAAACCTCATTTCTTCTAGTACTAATTTGAGAATAAGAACAGGTATGAATCATTCCTTTAATTTGTCTGGTTTTCTTTCCTCATTGTTTGCGGGCAGGAAGTGGAAACCACCGTTACTTTATGGGCTACCTATTCTTCTTGTTGTGTATGATCTGTTGGATGATATATGGATGCATTTGCTGTAAGTATAGTAGAGTTTGTATAGTTTTGCACAAACAACGTGACAATAAATGAATATAAATTTTCAATTGCTACTATTGATTTTGCATTAGTAGCATATTAATAATCTTGATGAATTGAACGTTATGGTAACACTTTACTTGAAGGGGTGTGCATAAGACTAACATGACACCTTCATAATCATGACATGACATATATCTTGAATATGAAGAAAGGTTTATGCATGTTTATGACAACTGTCATTAAGTGTCATTCGCTCAGTTCTGACATTTTTAATGCAAATATGACATTGTTTAAGTTGTCTTTATGCCTGTCATGCATAAACCTTACTTCATATTCAAGACATATGTCATGATTATGAAGGTGTCATGTCAGTCTTATGCACACCCCTTCAAGTAAAGCGTTACCAAAGTTATTTTGGACTTAATATGTCTCTGTTTCTGCAGACTGGAGTGTTCATTGTGCGACCAGCTACACTAAAGATGGCTTTTGGAACTACATAACGCAGATCGCCACCTGCTCGCCGTGGATGTTCTGGATGTTTCTCAACAGTGTGTTTCACTTCATGTGGGTCGCTGTGCTCATCATGTGCCAGCTCTATCAGGTGATACGCTCAAGTCTAGTGAAGCCTTTATCCTCATTACGCCCTAAGTATACTTCGGGTTTTCCGTTCATATGTTGGAGTAGGTTTTGTGTGTATTTGTGGTTTGATGTGTTTGACTTTCTCTTGATAGATCGCTGTTCTGGGCATCACTACAAACGAGCGAATGAACGCAAGAAGATATAAGCACTTTAAAGTTACAGCCACGTCCATCGAGAGCCCTTTCAAGTGAGTCCTTTAAACTCAGTTTATCTGTACAGAACAGAGGAGGGCGGCAAATGGTTCATTTGTCAAGCATATTGATCTTTGTATTCTGTAGAATATAATCTTTATGAAACTTCAAAATGATTTTTTATTGGCCAACAATTTAGAAAAAGATCCCATTAGATTATTAATGAATGTGTAGTTATTAAAAAAAAAGTCTTCCATCATGGGATGGACTTTATATGACGCTTATATCTGTAGAAAAAAAGGTGGATGATGGCCAATGTTTTACCAAAATATAATAGTTTAATGATGACAAATCGCTTTGGGTTTGTTTTTTTTCAGTGCTCATAAACTATTTAACCAGATATGAAGAAGAAAAACCAAAAAAAATATGTTTTTTTTACATTGTAGGAAGAATTGCTTTTAAACCAGTTGTTATTGAAAACTAAAACTATTAAAAACATTTGTTAAATGAAATAAAGCTGAAAAAATATATGAATATTAGATGATCATAAAATTAGAATTACTAACTGAAATAATATTAAAGTACTTGGAAATATTTTTAATGAACAGAAACTAAAAAAAAAAAACCCAGATAAACTGAAAATATAAAAAATATATATATTTTTTTTTAAATAATAAAATAACACTGTTTAGGACACAGCATGATTGACTAATGTCTATAATAAATAAAATAAATAGTCAAACCTGAACATTTTCCATGAATTGGGTCTCCCAATTTAGTCAAAACTATAAACTTCTCAAGTTTTGTTTAGGAAGCCATCGTTGCTTTTGGTAAAGATAGATTCGGTCAGTTGTTTTTAAGCCAAAGACGTGTTTGTGTGATTCCCAGTAGTAACGCTGCTCCTCTGTTTGTCCCTTGCAGTCACGGCTGTATGAGGAACCTCATAGATTTCTTTGAGCTGCGCTGCTGTGGTCTGCTGCGGCCCGTGGCCATAGACTGGACCTCTCAGTACACAATAGAGTACGACCAGACGTCCGGCTCAGGATACCAGCTGGTGTAGGAGTGAGCGAGAGAGAGAAGAGGGGAGAGGCTGCTCACCGGGACCATCCTTCACTGAGACTGCAAACCTCACCCAGTCAGGATACGCATGCTGTTATTGGTTACCGTCACCAACTCCACCCGCCCCCCCTGCCATAGACGGCACTTTGAGACGCAGGGCCGTGAGGAAGAGGAGGAGTTTAATGGCTTCAGGGGTGTATGCAGTACAACAAACTCTCCTCGATTGGTCAGCAGAGACGTTTCTGGTTTCTTTCGCACATCGACTTGCGTTTTATTTGACTTTTGTTTTCTTCCAGTGACCCTTTTCTGTTGCTTTTAAAGTGATATCAGATCTTTATCGGTCGTAAGTCCTGGTTCAATCTGGAAGTGTGTGTGGGAATGAGAACTAGCTTAACAGCCGCTGTGCCGAATCATCCTGTGAATTTTGTCGTCACTTTCTCTCTTTAAACACAAAGGGAGATGTTTAGAAGAATGTTCACGCTGTTCTTTTCCATACATTGAAAGTGAAAAGAGTTGTGTGATGATTTTTTAAAATTTCTCCACTAAAAATATGCATACCGGTTTGGAACGACACGGCGGTTGGTATATTATGACAGAACTTTTCCTTTTTAGGTGAAAGATTCCTTTAAGCTGCCTTGATTTGTCTGATCATGATTCTGTATGAATGCTCTGATATTAATCATATAGACTGAAAACATTCATAAGACTAGAGAGAGCCCCTCGTTAAATAATGTGACTTACAACATATTTATTTTAACCTATTTATATAGTATTTTTCAAGTCTTTTCAGTTTTTACATTCATCATATATGTACATTTCCAGCATGTTTAATAGTTTAGACGGGAGAATCCTGTGAAACGTGTCCAGAACATGAACCTGGGTTATATTTCACCCTAAAATTGTATTTTGCTTGTCCTGTTTAATAGTTTTCCCCCTTTATTATCATTACCGTAATGCACAAAAACCTCTTCATAACTGTAATCATTTAAATAGCAAAGTATTTTTATTGAACTGCCTTTAAATCATGCTAATTATTTTTTTTAAATAATTGTATTACATTGTTTGCTGTAAAAAAAAAAATGAAATACTGTATTACAATGAGAATTCGAACAAAAAATTGCCTGGATGCGTTACGGTAATGAGCGCTACAGGAGAAATGTGCTTAATTTCCATCAAAATAATGTCACGATGTAGAACAGTCTTCAGTTTCATGAAAATAAACTTGATTTTGGGTTGAAACGTGACCTGGACACGTTCTCGACGGGTTTATGGGATTCACCCAGATGCCCTCCGAATTTACAAGAAATAATACGCTCGTATGTGAACCTCTATTTATTATGTATGTGTAGTTTTAGGAAGTGTACACATTTAAAGTTAAAAATGCTGTTGAAAAGCCATTAAGTGCACCTGATAGCTGTACGATCTTAATGGAAGTTGCGTTTATCACGCCAGATGGGCTTCTTCCATTCGTTTTCATTTTTTTTTTTTTTTGTGGCGGCGATGACGTTTGTCTGCCTAAAAACAATGCACTGATCTTTTTGTTGTTGTTAATGTTCATTGTTACTGAAGAAACAAGCTCGCTTTCCCACCGTCGCAGAGGGATCTTCACGTTTACCTAAAGAGGAAGCTCCTCCCCTTTTGCTCTCCTCCATTTCCTCTTCCTGTTGTCATTGCAACAGCTGACAGGACGAACTGATGTAAAGAATGTGCATCTGTACATAAATGAACTAGATTCATTATTCTGTGATTGACTTTTGTTTTTTTTATTTTGTCTGTGTTAGTTAAAGCTGCTCCTAATTTTTTTATCTTACCAAAAAGCCAGAAAAAAAAAATGGACTATTATCCAAGTGTATGACTGTAGCTTTTAGTGGCGTCTGGCACTGCTGTGTATAGACCTTTGACCTTGCAAGTCTCCACTGCATGTGATCACCCTGCCATCCCAGAGACGCTCCCATCTGTAAATAGTGAATGTTCAGTATTTGCAGCTGGGTTTTTTTATTTTATTTTTTATCCTTTCGTTTGTACATTTTAAACCCAATGTGTGTATCGTTATTGCGTGTCCCTGAGGCCGCTCGGCATATGTATTATATCTGAATGTCCCATTCTCGTTGATTAATATCCAACTTAAAGGGTTTCTTTTGTATGTTTCATTGCTGGGTTTGATGTACCACTGGATGTACAAATTGTAAATGCCAGAGAAGTAGACGTAAGAAACGCTCTAACTCAAGAGGGCACATTGTTATGACATCATCACTCATGGACGCATTCGATGGGCCCCCGATACTGAAATATTTCGGATTAGGCACGGTTACAAGTCATTCATACATGTGACACTGTTTTGGGGAAGATACTCACATATTGCTGTCCGGCTGTTTTCCCACCATGTGAAAAGCACATGCTCATCTCCAGTGCCTCAGCTGAGATCAGGACGTCACCCTACTCTGCTTCAGATGTAACTTATTGGGCATGGTTCAATTTTAATGGCTTTATTAATAAAACATTCAAAGGTGAAAGGCCTGTGCGGTAGTTTTCAATCAAAGCGCACTGAAAACAAGTGTTTATTTCACATTGAACATGTTTATGCTTGTAAAATTTACTAGTCTATGAACTATTAATACCCAGTAAAGGGTGGGAAAAAAATAGTTTGCATAAAGGAAATGGACATTACCAACTTTTAATTGCTGTAATACAGATTTTTTTTTTGCATCACAGAAAAAACATTCTGTTTAAATTGACATAAATTGAAACAAAAAAACTTTTACATTAGTCATGAGAATTGGAAGGAGGGGGTGTTTAATTATGAAAATATGAAACGTAATGGTCTTTTTCTTAATGGACATTAAACTATGATCTTGTAAAAGGGATCAAGAATATGTATAAAGAAAATTAACCTTATTTTTAGGACAACTTGTTAAATTGTGATAGTGATATTTTCTCATTCTCATTTCTGTACACAGTATTTATCTTATTTTTTAATTAAAATCAGCAATAATATAGTAATATAAAGCAGTTAAAAATCTGGTTTTAAGTTATGATAATAAGAATTTTCCATGCATAGATGTAAAAGATACATTTACAAGCAAAATAAAGAAGATTTTACAATGTTCCAATGCTTTAACTAACATTAATAATGAGCTGTAGTTTTTCTTTGTTGATGTTAGTTAATAAAATACAGCTGTTCATTGTTTGCTCACGTTCGTTCAGGTCCATTAAATAATATAAATAGATAAAACTTTTGATTTTAATAACGTATTAGTAGCCTACATAAAATTAACATCAGCTAAGATTAACAAATGCTTTAGAAGAATTTTAACTTATTAGTTGTTTTAATTAATGAATTAACTAACGGAACATTATGGTAAAGTGTTACCAAACAATAATAAAGAATCAGAATATTTTCAATCAATACCTAGGCCATGTTTTAGTCCAGATTATAATGTGAGGTTACACCTTATTTTAAGGTGACTGTTACATTGTACACACTGTACTGTACATATAGAGTTACGGTTAGGGTTTGGTTTATGGTTAATTACTCGCTTTTTTTATGCATAATTTACTGTTCAGTAGTACATGTAGTAACTTGTCACCTTAACATAAAGTGTAAACTTTGGAAGTTTAATAATCACATTTGGCTGTATTGCTGGGTTTCCACTCCCAAATTGAAGACCTCTTAAAATGACATTTAAGATATTTAATTTTCATTTTATTCACACTTGTGCTCCTAAATACATTTTACAGTTCGCACATGCGAGGAAAATGCTCGCACTGTTGAGCCTTGTTAATTGTCATGAAAATATAACAAAATTATTTTCGTCATTTGAAATTAGTAACAACCTCTTGAACAACAGTAAAGCGCTATCACTGAGCGTGAACCAGAGCTCCTGCTCCCTGACCGTAGCCAAATCCTTTTGGTCCGAAGTTCTTCGCATAGCATGCTATAAAAAAAAAAAAAAAAGCAACAAAGAAGAAATTAAGCATCAATGTAGTTCATTAGTATGGAAGCTTGTTTCCGCCACAGAATGAAAAATAAAAAAAGGTAATTGAGACTTTTTATCTCACAATTTTGACTTTTTTCTCCCAATTGCGAGTTTACATCACGTAATTCTGACTTTATTTCTTAGAATTGCGAGATATAAAGTCAGAATTATGTGATATAAACTTAGAATTGTGAGATATAAAGTCAGAATTGATTGATATTAAGTCGGAATTGCGAGATATAAAGTCAGAATTGCGTGAAATAGTCAGAATTGATTGATATGAACTGTGATATAAAGTCAGAATTGATTGATATAAATTGGCAATTGCGTGTTATAAGTCAGAATTGCGAGATGTAAAGTCGCAATTGTGAGAAAAAAAGTCAGAATTGTGAGATAAAAGGTCTCAATTCTCTTTTTTTCTCGCAATTGCGACTATTTCTCAGAATAGCGACTTTATATCTTGCAATTGCGACTTTATTTCTCACAATTCTTCATATCTCACAATTATGAGATAAAAAGTAGCAATCATTTAAAAAAAATTATTCAGTGGCGGAAACAAGCTTCCATGCATTAGAGAGCGACATGTCATACGAGTAAAGCGAGAACAGATGAGGTTGTAACATCTTTACAGCAACTCATGACTGATTCCTATCTTGTTTCAGGCATTTCTTGCTAATCTAGTTATGTTCAAGTTTTGATGTTGCTATGCTATCAGAGAATCATCCTGACAGGCAAACAAACAAAGATTGAGAAAAGCTTTTAATCATAACCACTGGCCATTTAAACTGCATTAGGATGTAGTGCTGACCTTTGCAGTAGATCTCTCCATCTTTCTCCGTCTGAGTGGTCGACTCCAAACTCTTCCCACATTTGGCACAGCGAAAGCAGTTCTTATGCCACGGCTGGAAGACACACAGATAAAGAACGGATGAGTATAACCAGCTGACATCAGGCACTCAGTGATTAAACTGAGAAACTGGAGCAAATGCTTCACATTTGGATCTGTTTTTTTGGCAGTGGATCTCTAGCATCTGCAAACCCTCATAAGTGTCAATGGAGTCGCTAGTTACACACTTGAAGTGAACTTTTGAACCCAGTGAATAACACAGGTGATGTCACTGTGACAGTATGAGAGAAGTAGTTAGATAACTCTTCATTCATCTAGATCAAGAAATATATCAAGAACACTCCTCTAAATATTTGAAATAATTTCAGTGGGATTGGGAACTGTTTGCTATTATTGTTGTATTACATTTATTACATCAATGTGTATTACTTTCCAAAACTTTCCAAAAAAGGATTTTAAGTGTTGCATTTTTTGCAGCAGTATTTCTATTCATTTTAATTTTTTATATTTATTGACCATTAGCTAACACCCAAATTCTTTTACTTTTAAAAACATGAATGAAGAATAAAAATAATCTTCTTATAAATTTTATATAATGATATATTCAAATAGAAACTCACATAATATTGATAATGTTTAATGCATTAAAATGATTTTAGCTGCAGTTTTTGTAAAATTGGAAAATTAATAAAAAAGGGGTTAATGTAGTAAAAGCATTGTAAAAACTGAAAAAAATGTGCACATTCACTTATTAACGAGAAGCTACGGATCAGAAACGATTTGCTTTTAGTCAAAAAATATTGTTTTATAAGCTTATGCTTTCAATGCAGTATATGTATTGTTTACACTCGTGGCAGTATATCAGACCTCCTTTGTCCTTATGCATTCAAGACAATGTTAGAGAAAAAAACATTTATAGGGGCTGTTCAGTGGAACATGTTAGACCGGCAAATTAAAGTAATCTTAAGCAATAATTCTTTTAAAAAGCGGACCAAGGATTGGTTATTAGAGAGGGTAGCGAAATAGAACAAGGAGACAGTTACCATCTATAATTTGTATAGACATGAGATAATGAAAATGTTTGTATAGTATGTTGTCATTGTTATCACACTATATGTAATTGTCCTGTCTTGACGTTATGTGTAAGAGGACCACAATGGAAATAAGTCCTGGACTTTATTGTGTTTTAATCCTCGATTATATTTCGTTTTTATGTTTTAAGGCTTTCTTGATATAATTAAATAAAAAACCAAAACCAATGCATAAAGCCTTTTAATGCATTACAAGGGTTAAGGATGTGATGTTTGATGTGCAGTTCAGTCTCTGCTCACCTTCCCAGCGCTCATCACCTTCTCCGCCGCGTACACACACTCTCCACAGCGCGCGCACTTCTCCGAGCCGCCGAACTTCTGAGCAAACTTGGACGGGTTTGGGTTGGTGGTGGGTCGGTGAGTTTGGGTTCTGGGTAGGAGGCGGAGAGGTCAGATGTGCTTTTCTGGAGCTCAGCCTGACAAACGGCCCTGAATGAGCAGCTTTGTGTCGGCTGGGGTCTGTGCAGGAGCTCCGCTTACATAATACATGCTTTCATAACAATAATCACCTGACGGCAGGCTTGATGGATTTGCAACCAGTTTTAAAATGCTCTAGAAATCTTACACATGGCATACAGAGCATTGCTTTTGCAGCAGTTTATAATAATCATTAATATATTAATGATTTTTTTATGTGTGCATTCATTACAATCACTATTGAAACAAATGCACCACAACACAATGCTACTTATCACACTTATGCATAAAGATAATAAATGTTATCTCACATGGAAAACAAAACACACAATATTAGTTATCCCTATACACAATGAAAAGTGAAAACGCTCACTCTTCAGGTTTGATGCCCAGCCTCTCGCCGCGGTCCATATTGAGTGTTCCTGCTCCCTGACCGTATCCGTATCCCTTTGGTCCGTACTTTTTCCCGTAGCAGGACTTGCAGTAGATTTCCTGCTCATGGATGGCCAGTGTGGTGCTGTCTAACCCTTTTCTGCAGACCACTGGAGGAGGAAAAACACGGATTTTAATGTTTTCGTCCCATGCAAAACTCAATGCTACAATGCTAGAGTGCCGATGTTTGATTTCCAAGGTGTTTCGAGTGGATTTAAGCATTTATTTATCATCCGCCGGGCAAAGAAAAAAAAAAAAGGAAATACGCAAAAAGGAATAACGCATCTCCCTTAGTTTAGGTTAGAGAAAATTATACCAGTCATCCCACCACTAATAATCTATCATTTTAACTCCAGGATTAGAGGCTAGAATGCACATGATTTTGACTGTTTCATCAACAGACTTGATCTTAGTATGCGAAGAGAGACAAACATGATTCCACAGCCCTTTCCTATTCATCTAGCTAAACAAAACATCTCGGGACTCCATCTTTTTTCATTATACAACACATAAAAACCTCACACTTGACCACTACGATTCCAGAAACATCTACAGTTGATTAAAAACTTTGGTCTTAGAGGAAATGTGGGGAAAATACAGAGAGAGAGAGAGAGAGAGAGAGAGAGAGCTCATTAACTCATCATCGCTCGCTCTAAACAGAATGGCTTTTGTGGCGGCCCACCGCGAGTAAACACCACTCATGTGGGCCGGATTGTTTTTGCCATTTTGGTAGCAGAGCACTAATGTGAAGCATGTGCATTCAAGCAGAGCGAGATCTCACAAAAACATGCGAGATAGTTAGTTCACTGCAGGACAAGTGTTCATGCATTACAAGTAACGCCAGTTACAGGTCACTTTTTCAAGTAACTAGAAAATCGATGCATTATTTTTAAATTTAATGTTAAATTACACAAATATAAGTTACTTTCCCCCTGCAAAATGCATGTTTGAGATGTTTTACTGAAAGAAATTTGCACTGAAATATCTACTCTCAAGTAGCCTAATGTTTTTTTATATATAGCACATTTTATGTCCTAATTGAATTAAGGCCAAATCTAAGCCCTGTGTGTGCTGTGAGACCAGGCCTTTATTATTTAATATTTTAGTATTTAATCTCACTTTATTAACCAATGTCTTTGCTGTTGACCTTCGATGACCCAATTCATACATAATAATTACTTTAAACTTCACATATGTGTTTCATTTTTTACTAAAGAAAGAGTGTTGAACTTTCTTCTACTATTGTTCTGTAGTTCACAGTGGTTTGTTTGATCAGCGCCCTCTACTGTACAGGGGAAATGAATGAAATCGCATTTCCTTCAGCCTGAGGCCTTTTCATTTCATTTTTGTTGTGAAAAGGCCTTATTAATAAAGTTATATTTTTGCTAAAAGCAAGAAAAATCCCAGCCCAGGAGAAAAAGTAATGCAAAAGTAACGCAACATTTCTTTTCATCGCTCGGTTTGGTTTTTATGGGCGTCTCGCATTGAAGACTGGTGTGAGTGGATAACAGTTTTGCATATTATAATGAGTTTCACTCTCGATCCGGTTTGTCGTCATGAGGTAGGAGTCTATGATTTTGCTCATAGACAATTAAGCCAATTTTAAAGGATTTTAAGCATTGCATTTTTTTGTATATAATCGTTTATATATTCATTTAGATTTTTTAAATATTTAATAACCATTAGATATACAGTTTGTTGATTTGTTTATTGATTTTTTTGCAGTAATGAGAAATAAAATAGAATAATAAAATAAAACGAGAGTTTAAAAGAAAAACATTTTTAATTGTCATAAAAATAAAGGCTCTGTTTTCCTTTAATTCCTTTATTTTCTTCTTTGAATTTGACCTGGACACATCATGGTGAGTTTTACCTGAACAGTAAAGTGTTGTTTTTCACTTACTACAGAGGAAGCAGCACTTGTGGAAACTCCCTCCATCACACTGGACCTCTTCAGCGTGGTACACCGTCCCGTGGCAGGCACCACATTTGTTTCCTCCACCCCAGTTTGGCATTATAAATATCTTATGAATAGAGAAAACAATCGACTCTTGAGTAGTACAGCTTTAAAAGACAGGAAACACATCCGTCCTTCAGAGTGCAGAGATCAACCTCAGGAAACTGCCCAGGTGAACTTCTAGAAGTGTTAGTGAGAGCGTATCACCACTTATGACCAAAATTTGCATCGTTGGACATAAATCCCTCCATAAATACCAACTGCGTCTGTCTGGACTAATAAAGGCAAACTGCAGACAGTAAACACCCTGTAGACATCTAGAGACCCCAGCATCAAAACACGCCGAGACCACCAGGAGCTACAGGACAATGGGTCAAAATGAGTCTTTTGTTAAAAACAAAAACAAAACAATGTTCTATATTTTGCAGTAACAATGTCTGGAAGTATAAAGCAAAGCATTCATAAAAACTGATCAACTGCGCACGGCAATTCAAAGGATCAATTGTTCAGTCAAATAAATGATATCAGACCTTTCCAACTATATTCAAATTAGAAACGCTAAGTGCTCATAAGCATGCATTTAACACTTGAACACTCCTGGAAAACATGAGCAGCTCTGTAAAATGACATCATAACTCTCAGAATATTAATGTTTCTCATGGCTTCACAAAACAAGCATAAAAGTAGTGATTACACACTGAACACATGTCCAGACATGAGAGAGGACAAAGCCTCAAAACAACATTAATATCCAAATCACTGTGTGTCTTCTAGATCTCCACTATTAAAGAGTTTTACTGTTTCTATGAGTCTGAGGAGGACATTACAAAAATACCATAAACTCCATGGTAATAACATTGTTTTGAACCCTACCATAAAGGTAAATGAAAATCTTTTAGAAAGTAGCTATAGAACAAAAAATATGAATATGTATATGATAAGTAGCCTACTGCCTCAGCACTTTTTGTCAGTTCAATAGGCTAGTTTAAGCAAATGTATTTCACCCATCATGCAAATTGCATGGTTATCGATGAGGAATGTTTGCATATTTATTTAATAAATAAATATAAAACAGCTTTTGAATAGGTGCATTTTAAACAGGCAAGTACTAGATAAATAATAAATGTTAATTTTAAACATAAATATTAAATATGTGGTTATGTCGTATATTATGTCAGTTTTAAGTTGGCTATTACGTAGAAAAGTAGCCTAATTATATGAATTTTAAATACTGCGATCGTATCCAAAAAAATAAAAATAAAACTTTAACTGAAATACTGAGCTGCGTAGGCTACGTCTCCTGACTTTTAACCATTGGGAATTAAATCATCCGAAGAATAAACCCGATTCAATATTATACTTCTTTATGACTTATTATATAAAACGGATTCTCACACAGACACTCGGCAATATAATCCTGTTTAAAACTGTCCAAACTTACCTGAGCTTAACGTGTGTTTCCCAGCGGATTCCCAAACTGATCCAGTGTGCGCGAACTTCAGCAAAGGCTGGAATGTCATCACACACACACACACACACACACACACACACACACACACACACACACACACACACACACACACACACACACGATGACGTAACTTCTTAAACCGTTTAAAAAAGGTTGGCATTGGCAAACTTCGCACACTTTATGCTGCCTGACGGTAGTTAATAAACTAATATTTGAACACATAACATTTTTAAACACATTCTTTCTCTATATTAAAATGTTCAGTTGTTTAATTACACATTAAGAAGAATATAAAACCAAGAAAAAGTCTAACTGAGATAACGTTACTGTTGTAGAGTGTCCGTTTATCTCATAGACAGTAAAAGTTCGTCTAAAAGGCATCGGCTAGGCTAGGCTAGTTAACCCAAAAATGCAAAATTTTGTCATAATTTGCTCACCCTCATGTTCTTCCAACCCTGCTTGAGTTTGTTCTGTTGAACACAAAAGAAGATATTTTGAAGAATGTTGGTAACCAAACTGCATGCCCCTTTGAGGTGGTGACCATAGACCTGCATTATATGACTGACAGACAAGAACGGTTTGACCTAAAAATATCAAAATTGAAATTACTGCGGAAACAAAGACCTTGAGGTAAGCTAAAACATCAAAAATTAATTTCAAAGTGACCTATCCCTTATATTTTTGCTAACTATAACACAACCAAGATAAAAAAAAAAAACATTTTGAAAGTCGAACATTTAGAACTAACGTTTTAACATTAGCTAAATATTTCTGTTAGCTCGGCGGACGTCAATAAAATCTAGGCTACTCATCTTTGACCAACAATGACCCAGAAATGTATTTGTAGCCTACATTTTTAAAAACCAATGTCACAGAATAAACATAAAATATCAAGTCAATCGTCATTTAATTGAAATTCTTTTCAAGCAGAACTTTTGTGGAAAAGAAGTTTTTTATGTTCAAACAATAAAATAGATGTTAAAAAAGGACTGTGCACATTGCATACTTTGCTAAAACATATTTTGGAGTTTTATGTGAAATAAGACAGCACAATAGAAGTAGTTCTTCTTTATCCAGGCCTTCAGCTGGAATGCACATTACACCAAACTTCCTTTAGAAGGAATTTATAGTGAACGGCACAATATTGGAAAGAAAGAGGGAATGAAAAACAGATGTAGCACTCTGTCCTTCCTCCTTTTATGGTAAAACTGGACTCTGGCTGAGGGATGGCACGCGTGTGAGAAATTACACTTTAAAGATTTGCTTATTTAGGTTTCATGTGTCTGTGTCTGACGTGAGCCGTCTTTACTCAGTGTAACATCTGAACAGCTCTTTCAGACGGACGTGAAAAGGTTTGTTTTTCAGAGAATTTTAAAACCGCATTTAGTGAACCATAGTGTGAATAACATTCTAAAGAACCTTTTATGAAATGGAAAGATTCCACGGAAGTTAAAAGTTCTAAACGGAACCATTTAAGAACCTTAAGGAGTTTGTTTCCTCAGATTTGACATTCTTCAATATTCTCCACATGTATTCACAAACTTTGATTGATTTTGTGTCCTATTTATGTTTTAGACGTGCTTATTTCTGAGAACTCGACCGTGTTGCTGAGGTTTACAGGCCTGTAAATGCTGAAATGCAAGTTATTGCTGTTCATTCAGGGTTATTGTGATGATAAAATGAGTTTCCAGGTGTATTTGTGTGTAAACAGCATTAATGAACATTGACATGTTGCCAAGCGGAGTACTGTGTTGGTCTAGATAATTAAAAAAACTATAATACAGACCACACGCATGATATCACTACGAATGCTCACACTTACCGGTTTGAATACACTCGTATTAAACTTAAAGGGATAGTTCATCCAAAAATGAAAATTCTGTCATCACTCACAAACCCTTATGTTGTTCCTTTTCTGCTGAACAATAAAGAAGATACTTTGAAAAATATGAGTTATGAAAAAATTAATGGACCCCATTGACTTCTATAGTATTTTTCTCCCTCCATAGGCTACTATGAAAGTCAATGGGGTCCATCAACTGTTTGTTACATAGTGTACCTTCAAATATAGGACTTTATTGGTTTATTTTGGGAAACTGGACGCAAAATAAACAGGTATTGTCTGGCAGTTTCTTTACAAATAAGTCCTATTTTTGAAGGTTGACTATTTAACAAACAGTTGATGGACCCCATTGACTTTCAAACTTTTTAAAGACCGTTATTAGCAATTCAATGAATTGCATCCACATATGCATTAATAAACATTGTGATTGTGTTTTAATATCATAGTTTCAGAGGATTTTGGCCTTTGCACTCGACTGATGTTATTCATCAGTCTTTGTCTATGCTGCCACCTTGTGGTCGCACAAGCCTGTGCACCTTCCCATTTCAAATCAACCGAAAATTTCATTTTACATATATTTATTTTTTGTATTACATGTACGACACCTGTGTCCATACATAAAATGATTAAAAAATACATCTGACGAACACAAAAGCACCATACAGATTCATCAGTGCAGCTCTAAACACATTCAACACACACAAATTAACATGTTTACAAAATTATGCGATGCTACGAGTTACAGTAGTGACCGTAAATACTGTACGAATTACACGGCGGTGTAAAGCTCAATCCAAATGTAACTCCTGTACCCCTTCAAAAATAATTTATTACTAGTCTAAGAACAATTAATTCATAAACATCCTTTGTTTTAAACAGTACAGTACTGTGATAATTCTGCTTTGTTCCAGTGATCGCAGATCATATTCACTGGTTATTCAAGTATGTGTTTCCTTTTCATTTCAGACGTAGCACCTCAAAATTAAGCAGAAAATTACAACCACTATTTTGTTCTTTACCCCAAAATACACTTTTCTATGTATTCATTTTTAGTGGTGAAGGCATCATGTAACAAACATATTTCCAAGGCATGTCGGCTTCACCAATATGGCACTTTTTACAATCAGCGAAATACAAAACGCAAATGTGTGGTTTTCTCTCAGAAGTCGATCCAGACTTAATTCATTTTCACATTTTTAAATATGTAGTGCTTAAAACTGGATTGATGATTTTAGCCTCTGGAAATGCTATAATAAATAATGGTAAACAAAATCAGGCAATACACTAGTGGGATATCAAATAAACTCCAAAATACTTTCAGAAATGAAAAATGATGTGGGGGGAAAACAAATCGAGCCACAAAAGGGCGTAACCGAATCACGCTATAGACCCTGAGTGGGACTTTAGCATCTGTAATAATCTGCCCTCTTATACTGATGTTCGTAAACATTATACAATGGTCATGTACGAGAAATAATTCAAGTAAAGAAATTTGCTGTGTAATGCTGTTTCTGTCTTTGGCACAGTAGCACCACAGAAGCCTGAAAACCAATGACACAAATGCAGCGGCTAATTTAATTGGCTGGGGTGTGTCCGATGTCCAGCCTCCTCTGGGCGGAGCCTCGTTTGCGCGCCGCTGGTTGGCCGGCGAGAGTCCCAAAAGCTCCAGGTGTCTCAAAGAAAGATTTGGACCCCAGCGCTGCTTCCTTTGGTGTCACGGGAGTCTGAAACAGTGGAGGGGAGAAGCTCACAAACACTGTAGGAACACCTTCGTCTTGAAACAGGACAATTGAGTCTGCAATTGTTTGTTTGTTCTGTTCATTTAACTTAGCAATACACCTAGCTTGTTCTTGTGCAATGGATAATGTCACTGAATTCTTTGTGACAACAGATAATGGCTTTCACATTGTTCTTGCGAATACTTGCTCCTAGCACTTTTTTTTTTACAATCTTCAATAGACCATACTTTTTCTGGGTGAATGCTACATTTCTTTGTCAAATTCAATCTCCAATCCATGTGCACTCCTAACAATGACTTAAATTTGCTGTCTGACCACAATGGAGCGGCAAGGCCAGTTTTTCTAACCATTTTGTGATATTCTTTACCACACACAAAAAAACTAAAACGTTCTCTGATCAACAGAGGCTACACTTGTTTACACAGATCGACTGTTGTTAAACCTTCTTTGGTAGACCTAAGGATATCCACAATATTACTAGCACTTTATGCTAATTATACTAATGCTAAAATAATTTTTTAGAGGGTAACACCACAAAATAACAAAAAACAACACAAGCTATTAGCATGTTACGGTAATCTTCCCTGATAGAAAATGGAAAGGATCTTTCACCTTCCAACTTTTAGAGGATAAGACCAAAATAACTAGCACAAAAATGCTAATCCTTCTCTGTGAACAGAGGTTATCACCAATATTAACACGTAATGTTAATCTTCCCTAAGTTTAGAGGATATATTTCATCTATTTCATTTCAGACAACTTTAGTTAATCAAACACTACAGCTGTCTGATAACTCTTTGTCTGACGGCTCAGAGGCACAAAATTGTACTGGTCTGAAAACTCACAGAATCAAGTTTATTTCGTGGTTTAGTTAGCCGTAAAGAGATGATCGCTAAAGCAATCTGTCACGCCACATTAAAGACCGTTTTCGGGATCAAATTGATTTAAGTTGAAAGCTTAAACTTTGTTTCATATGAAAATTAACAATGCTCAAAAATGTTTAGTGTTAGGATAATGTTTAATGTTTTGTTCGCGCATCGACTGAATACATTATGAACTAAAAGACTTCAGCTCATCCAAATAAAACCATTTTATTTTAATTACAACCAATAAAACAGACACTTGTGACCTGACTGGTTTGTGTATGTCAGATCTTCTAGTGCAGTTTATGCGTGACGCTTGACCGTGTAAACACGCCATTAGAGAAGCGCTAATCAAACTTCACCATTTAGCTCGAGGATTTCAAGCTTTCCTGTTACGGCTGAAACCGAATATACATTTCCGGTGCATCACTACAAACTGTGTGCAGTACACTGACCTGTGTTTGTGCTGGCTGAGGGCTCTCTTGTACTCGTGGTCCCTGCGGTGAGAATGTGGCCACTGGTATTCGGTGCCCATGATGCTCAGGGGTGTTCAGTGTTTCAGCCACATTAAATGCCCCTCCTGCCATCACAAACTGGGCAGGTGACAACATGGTGGGCATGCTGAAACTCAAACCACTGCTGGCAACCCCCTCAGCACTGGAAGCGGGCATCGCACCTGTTATGAGCGGTGAAGGCACCAAAAAATATGGCATAGCTACAGCTGGCATACCACCTCGTGTATGTCCTGCTGGCATGAGGAAGTTCAAACCGTTCAGACCTACAGGAAACGAAATGAAATGTTAGATCTGAGAGTTTGACATTGACTGGTGGTTGTAGACACTCGGGTTTTCATGTACCTGCTGTGTTTGGGACATAGAGGTAATGAGAGGACATGTGGGCATCTTTGGGACTGGATGTTCCGGCGTCTTCCTCATTCATTGGCCCAAACGAGGCCTCGTCCCACGGGGACCCTTCCCGAGAGCAGACCGGAGACCTTCTGGAACTATCAGTCCCACCCTACGAGACATTCACACATGTGAATTATAATAGTGCGGTCGCCACGATTTTATAAATGAAATAAGCCCCTAAAGGCTGTGCATTACAGTGATTTCACCGTGGTAAAAATCTGTACCTGTGTGTGTAGATGCATATATAATCAGATCAAATATAAGCTGACGTTAATCCTAATTATTCAAATTTTATGTGTTATGTATTATATTATTGTATTCATGTTTTTACTATTGTTTTCTTGTTTTTTGTCTATTTTTTATTTTATTTTTGTTCAGTTTAAAAATATGGTATTACTAAATTAAAGTATTTAACAAAAAATGCACATTGTAATTTAAACAGCCTAATTATTCAAATCTTACATAATGTATTATATTATTGTATTCATGTTTTTACTATTATTTTCTTATTTTTTTGTCTATTTTTTTATTTTATTTTTGTTCAGTTTTTTTTAGAACCTGGAAAGCTTCATTGCTTTCCAAAAAATTTGGTATTACTAAATTAAAGTATTTAACAAAAATTGCACCAATTTTTTTTTTGCTTTAATTTGTCTTTTTTTATTGGTAAAAATAACCCACAGAACATTTTAATATGCTAAAATATGTATATGCATGTCGATGCGGATGAATACATGTATGTAAGTTTTAATCAGGCTCATTACACTCACCGTTTCACTTTCTATGGACACTGAGCGTTTGCTTCGTTTAGCTGCCTGATCATCCTCCTCTTCCTCCTGTCTCTCTCTCTTCTTTGGATGTCCCTCCCTGTGGCCTGAGACGGGTGACCTCTGGTTGATGCCCTCGGGCACGTGTCCGCTGTACACCATGAACACGGGTGTTTGTGGCAGACCGGACAGGTACGCTAACTGGTGAGGAGCGAACTGGGCTGAAAAGGGCAGTGACGCAAACGGGGCGTCCGCCTGAAGAGGCACCGCTGGTCCAACAGCGCTTCCACTGGCCTGAACACTGCAAATATACACAACACAGAAGCTACTAATCAATGTTGGTATTGTAAACTAAAATTAAAAATCGTTATTGTTTTCAATCTACAGTGTTGTGAATAAGTTTGGACACCCATGCTAAAGTTGCCTAAAAAGAGGAATAAAAAATCATCTTTTGGATATTGATCTTAATGCCTTAATAAAAAAATTAGGGAAAAATCAAAGCTTTGAAGGACACCAATTCTCTTTGTGAATGAATAATGTATCATAAATAAATAAATGTTTTTCCTTAAAATACAGGGTGCATAAGTCAGGGCACCCCTATGTTAAAATCCCATAGAGTCAGGCAGATTTTTATTTTTAAAAGCCAGTTATTTCATGGATCCAGGATAATATGCATCCTGATAAGGTTCCCTTGGCCTTTGGGATTAAAATATCCCCACATCATCACACACCTTCCACCACACCTAGAGATTGGCATGGTTTTACTTCAGTTAGCCTAATAGCTGGTTTGATTTGCATTGAAAGATGATCTTATGGAAAGTACCCCATGCCAATCTCTAGGTGTGGTGGAAGGTGTGTGATGATGTGGGGATATTTTAATCCCAAAGGCCAAGGAAACTTTATCAGGATGCATATTATCCTGGATCCATTAATTAACTGGCTTTTAAAAATAAAAATCTGCCTGACTCTATGGGAATTTAATTAACATAGGGGTGCCCTGACTTATGCACACTGTATTTTAAGGAAAAAACATTTATTTATTTATGATACATTATTCATTCACAAAGAGAATTGGTGTCCTTCAAAGCTTTGATTTTTCCCTAATTTTTTTATTAAGGCATTAAGATCAATATCCAAAAGATGATTTTTTATTCCTCTTTTTAGGCAACTTTAGCATGGGTGTCCAAACTTATTCACATCACTGTATATACCTTACTGAAAATGTACCAGCGCGACGGGTTTTCCCAGATCGCATCACATATGTGGAAATTTCTGCAAATACAAATTGTGTGCAGGTGGACTCACCTGTCTCCAAACTGCAGTTGACACACCGCAGAGCTGTTCACACTCTTCCTGGAGTAGTCCACCGGCTCGTCTGAGAACACAACCAGGAAAAACATTGTAAGTGCAAGTGCCACACTAGCATCATGGTTGTATATAACAAATATTGTTGTTGGCTTATGCTTTTCCCTGTAAGGACAAAGGTGTCTGCTAAAAGCTTGTAAAATGCTAGTGTTCTGCCCAGTTCTCACCTGTAGAGCGTCTCTGAGGTGTGCTGGGGGCGGAGCTTATCCGTCTTTGATTGACAGCAGGGGCTGGGAGGACCTGAAAGGAGGAGTGACGTGTCATTTTCTCCCGCCTTTCCCCGGCGCCCGTGATGGAGGCACTGATCTGAGCTTCTGAGACCCTCAAATCATCTGAATCTTAAATAAATAAAAGACATATAATCACAAAATGATCATACTGAAGAGACTATTTTCCAGTGTTTAAACAGGACGTACCACTGCTGTGAAAATCGGCAGGTCCGATCCATTTGAAGACGGGTTTACGGCTCTTTTCTTCTCTCACGTGAAGTTTCTTGATCAGATTCAGACTGGTCAGGACATTAGCGATATCATACAAGCGTCGTACCTTAGCTGAACAAACACAAACAGATGGCAAATAGAGATTGTGAGCTACACTTAAATCAATAATAAATATAAAATATGAGAGCTCAAAATGATTGACGTCTTACTTTTATACTTGCTGTGGTTGGACTCATCCTGACCCTCCTCGATCAAGATCTTAGCAGCTGTATCAAGTGTAACGGTCTGTGTTTTGGACACCAGGAACAGCATGACAAACTTCTGGCTCATGATGCGAAGCGATTTATCCTTCCGTCTGCTGGAAGCCGCTGTATGAGAGAGATAAACAACACTGTGAAACACGTGAAAGTTGTGGTTTTAGGTATGGAAGCACTCTTTAAAATAAAGGCCTTCAGAGAACCACACAGCAACTTAAAGTCCCTGTTAAGTCAAAATTAAGTGTGTGTTCTGAGATTGTCACACCACAGAAAAATGTGTTATTAGTAGGGCTGTAGTCAACCAAAGAAATCGAATTCGTCGGAAAAAAAAATAAAAAAAAATAAAATAGGTGCGTCATCAAGTAGGGGCGTGTCCACGAGCTCAGTGTGTCATCGAGCCCTGTTTTAGCCCCGCCCAAAAAAAATCCGTAAAATAGCAATGGTGAAAAACTGTTTAACGGTCTAACTCCACAATTCAGCACTTCACAGTTCACAGTCTTTGTATTATGTTTTAGCAATACATTTCTAACATTTATAATCGGCCTTTACAGGGACTTAAGAAACAGTGAAAATGGTTTTTGATATCAAGAGGAATTTGGCTATTCAGTTTCAGCAACTCTGGACGATGCCAGACGTGACTCGAGGATAATGAATAAATGTGATGTGACTGGCAGAAGAGAATCAGTGATAGTGGATTTGAATGGTCGGTGAATTGGCTGGTCGAGTGACTCCTGCCCTCATGACGGGTCCGTAATAAGCTTTTGTTAGGAAGCAAAGCTGTTGCTTAGCAACAAGCGACCACATGGGAAAAGAAGCCAGCAACCACATTAGAGGTTCCAGACGAGGACAGCGGGACGTGAAACAGATTTGTTTCTTTATCAAGTCATCAAACTTAAATATATCCATTTAAAAGTTTAATGTAATGGACACCGGCCTCAATGTTAAATGAAACAATTGGCAATTTTTCCAGAGCAATGGTCTGAAGGCCATGAAGCTGTTTTCATTTCCTATTTTTGTTGTTGTCAGACAATAGAACGAGTAGCTATAATATGAATGATTACATTTTTTATAGGCCTATGTGGAACATTATCAAGCTCTGTGCTCTGTGATAGTGATTAGTGAGTGTGTTAGTAATAAGTAATAAGCACAAGAAAATAAATAAAATGAAAATGGTCAAACTAAATTCTTTAAATATAAAACAAAAGAAAAGCAGATAAGTACATGGAAAAACACTGTTCGTTCGCATCTGTCAGTGGCTGTGCGCTCTTCTCGGCCATTCACTGAACAGGAGAGATGCAGCTAGAGAGAGTGACGACAGGGAGAAAACAAGACCTCGCGCTCGAGGACAGTACTGGCAACATTTGGAGGTTACTGAGGTTTGTCCAAAAGTCGCTAAAATTGTCGCTATTTTGAAAAAAAGTCGCTAAAGGGGTCTGAAAGTCGCTAAAAATAGCGACAAAGGTGCTAAGTTGGCAACACTGGTTGCTTGAGGTAAGAGCACAACTTCCTGTGTTGCCACAAACAACCACTGTTCAAAACAGCGAAGAAGAAAAGATTTTAAGAAAAGCGCATCAGATCGGTACATGGGTAGAAGTACTCACTGATACCAGATTTTTTATTGGTATCGGCGGCATTTCCGATACTAGTATCGGAATCGGAACAACTCTATAAATAATGCAAACCAAATGCTTTTAGAGGAATATGTGTGTGTGTGTGTGTGTGTCATACCGTGTGTGTTTTGCATGTGATGGGCGCCATATGGGCTGCTTCCTTCTCTCTGGTCCATCTGCAGATGGTAGCCCTGCTCTCGTCCCGCCCGATGGAGTTCCTCCAGGGTCTGTGGTAGCCTCGGGCGCCCGTGCCACACGTACAGGTTCTTAGCCATTCGGCTCACCAGCATCAGAGACTCCAGCACATTCACAATGTCGTAAATACGTCGCCTCTCAACACCTGAGACGGTTTAGATCTCGTGTCAGTCTCTACATTTTATGGTAACACTACATTTAGTTCATCCATTTCAAACCTCTTTGTAGATTTTTCAGACCATATTTAAGATAAATGGTTCATATAGAATTGCAATTGGTATATACTGTAGTACGTGATCTGTAAATTCTTGGGTTTTCCCCATTGGTTTCTTACATGATGAGAAGGAACCTAAAACGCTTTATTATTCACCACTGACAAATGTTTGATACTGTAATCATGGTTACATGAAGAATGATATATTTACCGGTACTGTCATTAACAAAGATTATAAATGCTTTAAAATAATACAGAAATGATGGGGTTTGATTAGGTTTAGGAGTTATTTTCACTTACCCAAGCGAGAGGCCACCTCATCCAGAGAGATGTTGATGCTCTCTGAGGTTTCTGGGTAATCTGGGTACAAGGCCAGAAATTTCTGACACAAAAGACCCAAACTCTTCTGTTTGCGACTGGGTCTCCTCTCAGAACCGTCTAAAGCTTCATACTGAAATTAAGAGAGATTAGCGGATATTTAAGACGAATCGCCACCTCGTTTGTAAGACGAATAAATGTAAATGCACGTACATTTCAAATCATTACACTGATTTAGACGACTTCTTCGTACCTGACACGAGTCATCGAGTTCTTCCTCCTCCTCCTCCTCCTCTACAGCTTTCTCTTCATTTTCAATGGGTCTAAAGAGGGTTTTCTTCATCTCTCTGTCGCGGATATCTGGGCTGGCGGCACTGATCAGCATTTTCAGGTTGGCTGTCGGGGTCCAGGGGTCCGGGTGGGCCCTCTCAGTGTGTTTAATAGGGGTTATATGTATGATATCTGGGCTGGAAACTCTCCTATGTCCACTCACAGCTGCCGTCACAGACTCACACTTCAGCGGGGTCGTTTTCCTTCGGTCCGTGCAGATGTTCTCCTGAAATCAGGGTATCCGTTCAACATCTCATGAGGAAGTAGATGCATTACCATACAATTCAAACACATTCATTTCATTCAGATCATCTTACTTTATGGTCATTCAAGCTGACAGGATCATCTGAGCTTGTCTTATTCACTAGTGTCCTCACACTATGCAAATCCTTTAAAGTTAAACACTTCATCTCCATCTAAAAAGGAAAATTGAATCATTTAGCCAGCACATTTAGACTAATAGTGAACCAGCTCATTACTGAATTATTCATATGAATGTTGCTATATATGAATAACACTAGTAAGTTCATATTAATTTATTACATTATTAATATATAATACCAACACTCTGTAAAGCATTTATTTGATGTTTGTTAACGTTTTAGTTAAGTGTTGCCAAAAGTGATTTGTCCAATAAAATTACATTATCAGTTTATTACATATTATTACTTATATTGCTTAAACAGCGAACATATTAGACAAAATATATTATATTAGCTACATGTTATACTACTACTGTATTAAATAAGGAAAATATGAGTAAAAAAAGTGCTATTATATTGCATATTATACAACTACTACTACTACATTAAATAAGAAACATGAGTAAAACAGTGATATTATATTACATATTACATATTAATATAAAGTTAGTACTACTGCATTAAATAAGGAGTAAAAAAAGTGATTGATCTGATGATGATGGAAAGATTTTGGCGCAAATATCTTCACCAGTTGCCTGGTAACGAAACAAGATTCTCAGAGGAAATAACATTAATTAGACGTTAGAAATAATTTATATTATTGTCACACTATTGTATATATTTTGTTTTACATTATAACGTTACTTTAGAAGATCAGCAGCATAATATATAAATCCTCTCGTTTTATTAATATTTGAATACTGATATGTCTGTGACTTCAGTAAACATCAGATTTGAGTTTAAGGAAATTATTTTAATTAATATTTGTATATCATGTAAATTAAGGCAGATAGAAGATTTAACTCTATATTCTTACCTTAAACTCCGTCCTTGGGATAAAAAAAAAATCCCAAAACGTAAATAAATCCTGCGCAAAGATGATCCTTCTTGTTCCTCCTTATCTGAACATAATTTTCTCTCTAAATCAGAAGATCTGAGCAAGTAATCTTCTTATTTCACTCGTTCTGCTGGTCAGGCGGCTATGAATCCCCCGCTAAAGCTTGTTTTCTGGCGCTCTGAAGAGCTACACCCTCTCTCGGCCAATCACGGAAGCGGTGTGTAAAAATAACGACGGCGATTGGCTGAACGAGGAGGAAATCCCTCAGAGCGACCACTGCAGCCAATCAGAGAGTCGCTCTGACCAAAGCCTGTGGGGGTTAGTTGGCGGGGCAGTGCGCGCGCTCTTATTGATCTGCTGCGTTTAACAGAAGAAACAGACGCGCCTGAAGTTTTCAAGGCTCAGCTGTGACTCAGCGGGGACATAATTAATCGTCACACATCATTATTTGTCATTATATAAATGCCGAACGTCCCATGAAAGCTTTCAATGACAAGCTCAGGCAAGAATAAAGGTGAGTTATACAGGTGGGGTTTTGGCGCGACTCAAGGTTTTCTCGCGGGAAAGTGTGTAATATGAGAGGACACCCCACACCCAATAACTACCCCCACACATAAGGGTGCGTTCGAAGTCAGAATAATCTATCTAATAATAGCCTTGAGAAGTAAATAAATCATGTATCTGGCCTTCTGAGAAACTAATGTACCTGTATGCACAGAAAATACATTTAAAACTATCAGAGTTGTCGATAAAATGTCTGGAAAAACGGATGAAACCATATGGTGCACGCGTCTTTGTTACCTAACGTTACATTATAACAATTTTTAATGCATTCGGTGTTTTATAGGTTTCAGGTTCATGTTTTTCCCCTCACATATTTCAGTGGTTTTCAACTTTTATTAAAATTTTTGTTCTAAGTTAGGTATTTACACTGACTGCTGTGAGAGCTGACTGAGGTACAACAAGATCCAGGGTAAGGCTCCAAATAAGATTATATTAATTTCCATTCAAATCTATATAAGATCTAAACTATCTTCAAATTGCTTTATGCTAAACAAATAACCCTTAGGTTTGTTTATCAAGTCATCAAACTCGAAGATATCCATTTTAAAGTAATGCAAACGAGTGAGCAAACGAATAAATACTACATTACATAAATATACTGACTTGAGCCATTTGAGTGAAGTAAATGAACAATTATATTTAGTCATTAAACGATAATATAATCTAAAATAATGACTGATGATGGTTTAGTGATCATATTGCTATGGCAAATATTTGGGGCTTTTATTTCATCATCGACTGATAATGTAACCAGAAAATATCAGAGCCTTTTTCTTATGTATACTTTAAAAATGATGATAATTTAATTTGAAGCATGCAAATTTATATACTGGTGCTTTATTGTTAAACAGACACTGTAGATTTAAAAAGTCAGAAATAACAAAATTATTAAAATATTGTAATTATAATTTCTATATTAGTAAAACTTTGCATAACCGAGGTACAAGGTGCAGGGTAAGGCTCTATATAAGATGTAAATCATCTTAAAATTGCTTATTCGTTTTACATAAAGCCTCGGGTTTGTTTGGGTGCATGTTACATTACATCTTCAATGTTATTTATATGTCCAGTTTAGTTATTTATATGAGGCCACTACTCGCATAATTCATTAATTTTTTAGTGAGCAGTTAGTCAAGTGGATGAATCACATTTGCATGATTATGCAAAACTGGTGACGAAGAGAAGATGAATTCATGTTTTTATAGCAGCACCGACAGCGCATATTAAACACCAGAATCTGGGATTGTGCCATGTAGGTCAAAGAAAACAGTGTGGAAAGAGTGTAAGCTGGAGACTGACATGAGGAGGATTGCATCATGTCTCTGAGATGAAGATATTAATCAATAGATCAATATTCAGAGGCAGGCCTACAGTTATACAGCTAACAGACTAATGTGATCACTCTCAAGCTTGTACTTAACATGTGCCCCTGACTATGATTGTGATACATTTATGTCCATCTTTGAAAGTGGTATTGCCATTTTCATTTTTTCATTTATTTCAGTAATTCAACTTAAAAGGTGAAACTAATAAATTATATAAACTCATTACATGCAAAGTGAGATTTTCCAAGCCTTTATTTGTGATGATTATGGCTTTTTCAAACCTTTTTACAATATTCTAATTTTGAATTTGGGGTTTTTAATAAGCTGTAAGCCATAATCGTCACAATTATAACAAATAAACGCTTGATATATCTCACGTTGCCTGTAATGAGTCTATATAATGTATTAGTTTGACCTTTTTAGTTGAATTACTGAAATAATTGAACTTTTGCACCATATTCAAATTTTAAATTGAACAGATTCAATCTGAATGAGGCGCCTTTAAAGACATCATTTATTTAACATTTACATAATGTGTTTAGCATTTCATTTCTTTCCCTCTGTTGCACCCAGCAAAACAAATATTATTTATGAATACATGTAGATTTGTTAAAAAGCTAGGGATTCTTATTAAAGCCAGTAGTAGTAACAAAACACACACATTGTACATTTTTTACACATTGTGTGTGTAAGCAAAACTAATTTACACATCTGATTTGAACAAAACAAACAAAATGATGATAATAATAATAAAGACTTCTTTTGGTGAAGACGAGTGTATTGTTATGATTAATGGTCTACATTTTTGGCTCTGTTTGCAGGTCCTATGATGCGCTTGTGGCCTTCTGCAGCAGCTGGAGCATGATGGGATACACTGGGGCAAACTCCTTCCCTTGCCTGGCTCGGACAGACTGCACGTACGCCTCCAACGCCCCCCTGCAACAAAGGAAAGTCACACATTTTAGTTTCTTTCTTTCGCTGTTTACACAAAAGCTGCTGTATTTCCTCCAGAGCGCCAGTAGAGGACGCTGATGTTGCACTGAGAAATCATTTATTCTGGTCATTGCATAAACCTATTAGACTTTCAAGTTAGTCATCTAATTTTTTCTTCAAAACTGGTCTTTTTTCATGTCAGTTACATAAAAAGGTATATTAATCTGATTTGAATCAGAGAAGTAAGATTAATTAAAATAACAAAACAAATATTAATATTTATGGATATTTGTAGATTTGTTTAAAAGGGTTGCGATTATATGAAATGCATACACTAGACAGTCTTAACATAGTGGCTATGTTTATGTCTGGGCCCTTGTCTGAAGTACTGAATTTTATAGTTCGCACTCATGTTTTTTCTCATATATAGTTTTCTATGAATATGAATTATTACATTTGCACTCATAAAATGCAATTTCTAGCCATTGAAATGTTTTAGAGTTGAGCATAACTAGATTTTTTATAGGTAATAAGAAATATTTGGGGATTTTAAAACTGATTACAAAAAAGTCGTGGAAATTAAAAGAAAATCTTAACTCATGGGAAAAGTCTTGGCCATTTTTATAGTAAATATAAATATTTTAGTAGGATATATGAATTGCATTAACTTTATTAGAAATAAATTGCTCTTTCTAATTGCAATCTCTATAAAATAATTGATAAAACATCACATTTTGATTATTTAAATTCCCTGCTATTTCCAGGTTTTCTGTGATTGTGAGAACCCTGACATTTCTAGTTCGCTTTAAAATTGACATTACTGAATTTGAATGTTTCATTAAGGGTCAAAGATGAGAAAACTAAACACCAAGCTAAATCAAACGAGTGTTAGTATTGACATTCCCAGAGAAGGTTTATTGTGAAAGCGGTGGAATTGGTGCCCCCAACTGAAGCTGGGATTTTGAGCCTTGGATCTTACCGAATAAGAGTGAGACGATCCTTCTCTGACGGGTGGTCATCCAACCACTGAGAATAGCGAGAGATGGACCACTCCGCTCTCTGTTTAGAAGAGAAAGCTGTATTAGTGAAACATAAGAGCTCTACAAATCCACCCATGCTAAAGCTATTTTAGTGAACCCTCATTTTATAAAATGGCCCAAAATATCTTCATCCTTTCCAGTCCGAGCACTCAAATATGAAATGTGTCATTTAGCAGAAGCTTTTATCTAAAGCTGCTTACAGTAGGTCAATCACAGGGGCAGTTGCGATGGGGCAACTTGAGATGAATTGCCCCGCTCAAGGGCATAGTCAACAGGATTTGACCTCAAAAACCTCCTGCCTGCTAACACGCCGAACCTAAAACCTTAATCCTTGTGGATCTATAACCAAGAGGTTTCCATCCTTCGGCATTAGTGTGTGTGCGTACCTGATGTGGCGATTTGAGTTCAGCCGGGGCACGATTGAACAGAAAATGTAATATGGTGCTGTATGGAATCAAATCTCCCAGCGCTTGACTGCTGGTGATGTGCTCAGTCGTTTGGAACAACAGTGGCCTGAAACAGAGAGACAAATATATTCATATTCACTGCAAATCTCAAACCGGGTGTAATTTAGAGCCTGAAATGAATGCTGGAGATTTGAACGGTAAGTGCTTATGAAAAAACGTCCAATAAAATTCACCAAATGTTTGTGACATGCTAAAGTGGAGCTCGAATGATGTCCTCCAGATATCTTACTCAACGCTGACAAGATGAGAATGATATTTCAGAATCAGAAAAACATCCCAGGTTCAGTGAAGACTGGGATTCAATTTTGTGCTCGACTACAACATAATGAGATCGTATTATTTTATGAGTCTTATTGTGATTGCAATGGTGAAAACAATGCTTTTTTTTAAATACGTTTATCGTTCACCAGCTAGAAAGCATACATCCGTTCAATTAGCTAATAAAAGCACAGCTCTTCTCAATCTCAACAGCTTGTGCAATGCTTGAATACAATATAATGAGAATGTAAAACAACAGTTTTATTTTGAATTATTTGAATTATTATATATACTATTTCATTTTATTTTGACCACTTCGGGAACGGGTGTAATAGTTAGATTTTTTAGAACCATCTTTGCGATGACGATCATTTAATCCTTATAATGTAATGTTAATATTATAAATGAATTTCTATGCTATAATAGGCTATACATATTATCCTCCCATTAGAATAGGGAATTTAAAGATATAGGGATAAATTACATATATTATTTCGCAATATGACAAGAAGCAAGAGTGCTGTTTTTCCAAGTATCAGCACGATTGCAAACATGAATGATTT